CACACGTGGGAAAAATCACTTGTCCACAGCATTTTGGGTCAGATAGCTGAGGAAGACTGAGTGATTCAGTCGAAAATTTCTGGTGAGTCAAATTTTGAGTTGGAGAACAGTTTAAGTTTTTCATAGTGGCATCCACCTGTTGACATCCACAGAAATAGGAGATCTCATGAGGCCCCATTCCCATTAGTATGGGATATCCGGTATAATTGTCCGGATAGATCCGAATTGATTCACTTTGACCCGGCTTCGATCCAGCTCGAAGCCAGAATGAAGCCGGATTAAAGCGAATCAATTCGGGATTAAAGCGAAGCAATCAGGACAATTTTATCCTAGTGGGAATGGGGCCTCAAAGTTCCAGATCTGGGAACGAGTTTTCATGACATTTAAATTCAGCCCATTTCCTGTGTCTGACCTTTTTTTATCTCTAGTTATTTCACAGATAGCGACATGTCGAGTAACATTGTTGTTCCCTGCATTTTTTTCTCTATGAGGAAAACAAATTGCAGTGACATTACCTCCAGAGCAAGCGCCGTTTTCACCTGGACCTGACGACACAAAAAATAAAACAATTTAGATGTGTCTACAAACGTCCAACAACTTTAGATCAACAATTTACAGAACGTATCACATTATGTTTTTTATTTTATTCATCACATGGATTTTTGAGCATTAGATAGGAAGCACTTGTTGTGCTTATGTGAATCCGCTGCTCATAAAACATAATACAAATGTAAACATTAAGATGACATAAAATATAAAATAAACGTAAAATGAAAGTGGCTGGCGCACCAATACCTATAGCGTTAATGTGACTGGTCAAATCTTCCAGTGTGATGAATATAGTTGAACACGATATCAAAGATACGGCAGTTAGTAGGGTATGGGAGGGAGGGGCTACCTGTAAGAAGCAAAGTGCATAATGTGGCGTCATTTGCGTTGAGTGGGTCGGAAGGGAGTATGTTTTCAAGATGAAGGCAACATATGGATAACAACATTTTGGTCCTTTCAGTATTGTAAAATTTGAGTGCAATAGATAGTGATCTGATGTCTCATAACGTATCACATTATTCTTCTGAAAGAACGAATGCCACCCTACCTATTTGGCAGATGAATCTCTTCTGAACGTAACAGAAGTCGTCGTCCCAGCTGAGTCCTACAGCAGCCCACAGCTGCCCACAGTCCTGTCCCTGCCCGCCTCCGTTGTTCGGTTCTCCTGGAGCCCACATGCTGAACCCACAACCACTCAACGGAGTTCCGTCAGACCACGTCCAGACGTTAGGCGTCTGGAGAACCGTAACATGTCTGTCATTAAATGTTTTTTCAGTGATGGTCCTAGTGCAGACCATTGGGGTACACCGGGATATGAGGGAAGTGGAACCCTGCAGGCTCCAGACATGGGTTATGGTCAATATAAGTCTTCTGGGTAATATAAGCACATTTTACTTCTTTCATACTACAAGCCTAGAAGAAAGTCTTTTATATAAGGCCACACCGATTTAATTTTATGGATGACATCCTCTGAAGACCCCCAAACTAGTGCGCGGGGGCGAATAAAAAAAATTCCGACCAAAAATAAAAATGCTACTAAACCACAGGAATATAAAGCTGGTATTGTGAATTTGCGTCAGTACATAGAGACGTATACGACAAGCCGGCACATGCTGGCTTTTTGCGGAATTAATGAATCGGCACTGTATGTATGTACTAAGGTGTTGAGTAGTGGAGCTTCGGTAGCCTGGGTGCCATCCTTCAGAGTCACCACCTCCCTATTGTCGCTAACTACCATGGACTACCCAGGCCTAGAGCCAGGCCAAAGCCTCGGAAGACGTGATTGTTTTGTTTTTTGAGAACAAGCGAAAATCAATGCGCCTAGGCAATGTAGCCTAAGATACAAAACTAATGATAACTAATCTGTAAAATGAAGTCTAGTAGAAAAAAAACATACATATTACAGAAATGTTAGTCATACTCAAGCATGCACTAGTAGATGAAATAATATAGTTCATATAACAACTTTCGTGAATGCATTCAACAAGAACGGGGGGACGATATCAACTTCCAGTGACCTTTGACCTATTACTGATATAACGTATCCGGAATACTTGGTTAATTATTATGAAAAGGGCCAAATGATCTGGCGAAAGTATGAACTTCTTTGTGTTGTTTCTGTTTTGCCTGTTTCATTTCTGTCTATCCGTGTCACTTCTTGTATTTGTTTTTGGTACTATTGTAATAATGATAAAAGATGTTGCCAGATGTTGTTTTCTCATGCATAAAATACATACCCTCTTGTCATTCAATCCGATCCAGTAGTCTCGATACCGATTGGCCTGCCTAACCATGTCAAGGATGAAGTTGTGAAGAGATTGTGTTTTGATGTCAGCAAGATGGCCGCCGTCCGCTTCACACGTCATTTCCGCCTGGTGGTAGGACATGACTTCCGTGAACACCTTGTAGGAGGTGTCGCCTCGCTGGGTGTACCCGGGATGGGCCGAACCGTTCACTGAAAATAAATCAGATTTGTACAAAACTTTATCAAGGGAGGCTAGCTGCCTCCACTCTGCACATCTGTTTTCCCTGCCACCCCGCACATCTGTTTTCCCTGCCACCCTGCACATCTGTTTTCGCGGAAGTTCTGCTGCAGTACCAAGGTCAGCCACCAGGAGGCCCATATTTGACCTTGACCTTTGGCTTTCTAAGACCTACCAGCATACCAAATATCATCACAATCCATAAAGGCGTTATGATGCAGGCATGCTGACTACAATGTGCGGAAACACACACACACACACACACACACACACACACACAGACGCGCCAAAAACAATAGCTCCATTTTTCATGGAGGTAAAAGACACCGTAGAGTTACCGGGAAGCCCACGATGGCCCGGCTACCAGGCTAAATATTGTAACGTGTGGGTGGGTCTTTTGGCTGCTACGAATAGGCTTGAATATTCGTGGTAATTAAACCACATTGGTCTCTCCGTAGTATCCAACAAGACTTCGTCCCTGGTATATACTGTATATCCTTAGATTGCGTGTATTGTGTTTTATGTAATCATCTTATGACATGCTCCGTACGATTTCTATCCGTTACTTGTTCTTATTGACATTTTGTTCTTACCGTGCATTCATTTATTCATTAGAGAGCTGGCTTAGACAATTATTTTTTAAATTTTCTAGCTGTATGTTGCCAACAATGTTTTATTCATCCTATATTTGTTTATTTGTTTATTTAAATTTTTCACAGAGTGAAAGGGAGGGCAAAACAGGTGCGAGGCACCTTTGCTAGTTGCCCTCCCACATACAAAAACAACAAGAATGTACATTACACAGTCAACAATCTATAATACAAGTAGGGCACAAAATATCATATAAACATAATCAAGGTAACAACAATGAATGGAAGAGATAACCATATCGGAACGATATCTAGTGAGGTCTTGAGGCAATACAAGAGCTACATCCACACGAAGTGGTCCAGGTACATGGCAGATCAAGACTGTATTGAGTGTTGAATCTGTTGTAGGCTACTTTTGCCAGTATATATATATATATATATATATAGTATATACTAGTGTTTTTCTTGCTTTTATAAAGTAGTAAACCAATCCATTCTAAAAGAGGATAAGAATTACCAACATTGAGACATTACAAGGCGCACAACTGGCAAAAAATAAAAACAACCAAAAGGAATCGGCTGTAGAGACATTTGATACGAAAAATTCATCATGGTTAAATATGCATGCCGATAAAGTATATCGGTATGCTACAAATGTATACTAGTATTTGACTGGCAAAAACTCAGCTGAAAATACGGATCTCTTATATCAAGACTGCGTATACGGAATATGTTTAAGACACAGAGATCACTGTGGGACGCTGGCCCTAGATCTAGATACCTCGGACGTAAGATAGTTTACTAGTCTGGTATCCAGTCTGATCGTGGTCGGGGCTACAATAGCTCTGTCCCGCCCGCCTCACATAGGTTTCCCGGTGTGTATTTCACGAGAGATTGATTAGCCCTCCACGAAATCCCCAAGCATACTGTCTCTGATTAGCGTAACACTACGTACCGGGACGGCCTGTTGCACTGGGCGGGGGAAGCTATTAGAGCCCCCGAAGGCACAACCTATGCTACCTGAACACCTCCAATACCCCCAATCACGTAAGACTGGATATCAGGTAATAGTTTACTAGTATATGCAAGACGAGAGTTAACAACATCACCAATACAACTTGTTTGGCTAGATTCAGTAGACACTGAGACCAACATATGGTAACGTTTCCACTACACCTACATGTACATCAGACTTCCCGCATATATGATTATCAAGCCAGGCTATTATAAGCAAAAAATTTGTCCTCTTACCTAAGAACAGTCCATGGAGTACTAAGGTGTACACAAGCAGGCGACCCGCCATGTTGAGAACAATCGGCATACACAAGGCAATCAGCGCACGGAAAATAGCCTGGTATCCAGTCTTACGTGATTGGGGGTATTGGAGTGTTCAGGCTGGTTGTGCCTTCGGGGGCTCTAATAGCTTCCCCCGCCCAGTGCAACAGGCCGTCCCGGTAGGAGTGTTACGCTAATAAGAGACAGTATGCTTGGGGATTTGGTTTCCCCCAACACTAATCAAAATTATCAATCTCTCGTGAAATACACACCGGAAAACCTAGAGCTCTTTCGGCCCCGGCCACGAATCAGACTGGATACCAGGCTACACGGAAAATTGAATCAATAATGTAGTGTATAGATATATATGGTGTCGCGGCATATCGTTTGTCCCTCTCACGCCATATTACATGTGCCCAGACGTTTAATCCGACCTCAGGTTTCCTTGGAGCTACTTACATAAAACATATCATTGACGTGTTGGATTGGCATGACAACGTCGTGTAGCGGGTACGGTTACCTTTCAAATGGTTGTAGCTGCTAAAGATTTCACCAATACTTTTGAGTTTATTTGTTTGTTTATTTGTTTATTTCGAATTTACCATCAGATATACAAGTGGAAGGGAGGACAAAACAGGTGCATTGACACCTTTACAAGTTGTCCTCCCAAACACAACATACAGAATATAAAAGCAGATTACATTATTAAATTATTAAATACAAAACAAATTGCAATAATGAACATCATTAACATCAAATATTGTACATCAACATCAAGTATAATACATTAAACATCTCACATGTACAACTCAAATATATCTTCTTTTTTTTTTTAAATTTTAGCGTAACTGCATGTATAGTAATTGCGTTGCCGTTTTAGTAGGTCATTCCCACAGCAATTATACAGTATGTTCCACGGGGCATGTTGAACAAATCAAGGAGTTTTTAAAAACGTATGTAGTCTAGCTAATGCGTGTAGTGCGTGCCTTGAATTCCAAAGCAGGATAATGAAACGGGAATCTTTCACACCATAATTATTGTTCTTTCCCCCAATAAAGAAACGTTGACTCCAAGGGAAAACATATTTCACAAATCGTTGACCTAGAAAAATATCCGAACAACTCAATGAAACGGTTAGCCTGGGTTCCATCCTGGTTAGTTTACGTCCGCTCCTACAGTCGCTACCACCAACGGACGTAAACTACTAGTAACCAGGATGGAACCCAGGCTATGAAACGGTCTCTCTCGGTCTCTGAAACGGCCGCTCATTTGCGCCACCTAGCGACATGCATCGTCCTAACACATTCCTAGTGTAGCAAGATGGCGTCCAGCTCACTGGAACACGGCGGCGATGGTCCGGTAGAGGGGCTGCCTGGCGGGACCGGAGTGCTCCCAGGCGGGCCAGGGGTGGGCGTTACAACTCCGGGAGGGAAGCAGCTAACGGTAGGGAATGTATCAACGATATTGTGCAAGAAATAAAGGGACTGTAGTAGGTCAAAGTCTAGAGTGGGGAGGGGGGTGTCAAGGACACCCACCGTCCTTGTGGTCTATCTTTAAGCAGATGTGTGGCAAAGTTATGGTACTTTTTTATTCGCCTTTTCGCTCATATTGTGGGGACCTTTATGTAGCGTTTCATAACTTTTGACCTGATTGATTTCACATGACAGTTGTGGCACAGCACAGTTGAGTACAGGGTAGTAGTCATATGCCAACCACACATCTGCTTGAGATGAGATACATAACCACCTCTTGCACAACGTTAAAGCGATATTATGTAAGATTTTCACTATTTCAAACATCGTTACTTTACACATTTTCTTGCACTATAAGCCTACCTGGGTTCATAATGACATTTGGGGAGTAAAAGATTAACGTTGTTGCACCGCAGAAACATGTTGGAAGCTGCTAACTCCAACCGCTGTTTGTTTACATTCTTTTTAGGAGCCTCCTCATAAAACAGTGGGCCTGGCGCAACTTTTTCTCGTGCTGCGCTGAGTTGTGAAAAAAGAAAAGCGAAATAGCGACGCTAATATGTTAAAAGCTATTTGATATGACAATCTAGATGAGAAAATATAAATTATATTGACAGTTTTGGCACAAAAAAAATCTTACATAATATCGCTTCAACCTCCTTGACAACACTATATAAAGAAGGCACATAATGGATGGTCTAATGATGAAGGGTCATTGGTTGGCACAAAATTACATGTACTTGTACATATTTGTATTACTTCATATGTATTTACCTCTATCATAATTCATAGGTTACACCAGAGGAAATGCAGATCTTCCAACAGTGTCGAAGAGAGAGCTTCTTTTACAGATGTGAGTTTTCCTGGTGTCAGGACTGGTTTTGTCTGAACGTGGCAACTCATCCGGCGTGATATTGTCATAGCCATTAAGGCCACACCAATTTAATTTGTTGTTTCTCAGATTTTTTCAGAAAAAATATGAAGCGACAGGGCGAACTTTTTTGAACCAGGTTGCCCAGTACTAGTAGGCAACCTATGGCAAAAATTAGGTTGCCCATCAGAATTTTAGGTTGCCCCAACTATAAGTTACGACTTTCCTCAAATTAAGTAAGACATAAGCCTTTGACAATATGTCTAACAGCCTTTAGTTAACTGATACTAGTAATAGCCATTAATACCTACATTTTGTAAAATTAAAAAGCATTTGCCGGATACAGTGGTGCAAGCCAAGTGGGCATGATTTTTTTGTGTGTGTGGGGGGGGGGGGGATTCTTAAAATTCAGGTAGCACACTGGGCTAACCATATAACCAATACCTCGTATATTTCAGGCCTGCCCCTAGCTGGGGTTTTTGGACTTGCCACCAACAGATTACTTGCTGCAGGTATACATTTGTCTAGTTGATTATATTTTGCCCAATTAACATTTGTGTTTTTCCCTTTACAACATTGTATGATGTAATATTATTATTACTGGTACTTTATTAATTGTTAGTGCTCTGTTCGAAGGTAGTCTATATTCGTATATCATTTTTTTTGTATTTATATTTATTGACCTGACAAGTTGAACTGAATCATCTATTAAATTCTTTTGTTGTTTCAACAATATCAGGGTTTCTGAAGACTGGGAGATTTGGAACAGGCCCTAAGTACATGCGTAAGTTAGAGACACTCTGTGCTTTTTAGAATCACTCAGTCAGAAATAAAACATACGTACCATTATGAATTAAATGTCTTTTACAGCAATATCTCTACTATGTACACTCAATAGAATTGTAAATTTTCCTACCTGAGTGTCCTCTTGAATAGTGATGCATACCGGTTCACTGGACTTGGATCCGGACTTGAAAGAATGTTTAGGTTCAAGTCCAAAAAAACCTAAAAGTCAAGAACCGAGTCCGGACTTATTACCATAAAAGACCATTTCACATACCCCTTTTTTTTCAAACCACCTAAAACCTTCCGTAGATTGTAAAATCTTTGCTGCAAAACGAAGAAAACATTGCCATCGGGCATCGTCAAGTATCGGCCTCCATGTTATGTGGCCAAAGTTTCACCCAGACAACATTGCAAGGTTGCCAACATGCAATTTTGTATATGCCATGGGTTTAGGTCCGGACTTGTAAGTCCGGACCTGAACCTAAACCTCTGGACTTGAATCCGGACCTGAACCTAAAATTGGGTTTAGGTACGCATCACTACTCTTGAATTATCAGAAACTAGAAAGGTAATATTTGCAAAGCAAATGCATAATGTTTACCTTCGCATATGGTTTGCTCTTCTTACTCAAATACATGACATTGTACATTCATATACATATGGTCAGACAGGAGTCTACATCCCTCCTATAAAATTGCAACATTATGTAACCCAACACCAGTTACCATGGTGACAAACATCAACAAATCAGGCCATTGACCAGGTCAGAGGTTAGTGTTTGGAACAGAAGAAGAAATGTATTAAAAACAATATGTTTTCCTTCGGTAAACATAATAAAAGTCCATACGTATAGAATACAACACGGGGTATTCCGTATCGCCCGAGGTATCGGCCTGATCGCGGGAGGGTCGGGACCGAGGGCGATGCGGAATACACCGTGTTGTATTTTATTTATATCATACCCACCCAAGAAAACGCGCCTTTCAATGCAAGATGAGCCAAAAGTTGGTGCCCCTAAACCCTCAAATGCAACAACATCAGTTCCAACGTCCGGATTCTGTATTCGAATTTTCGAAAGGGGCACACGCGGTTAGGGCGAAACGCGTTCGAATCGTTTTATGGAAGCCATGGAAGCGTTCGATAACGGGTTCCGGACCGGGCCGTACTGTAACGTACGGCCCGGTCCGGAACCCGTTATCGAACGTTATGATATAAATGTGCGTATATAATGTAATTACTGCCGTCTATTACGATATACATGTACTAATAATAGTAATGAACAGCTTGGTTCAATAGATCATTGTATACTTAGCTAGAGCCTGACATATGTCATATTTAGATACTACGTACCAGTAGTCAAAACGTATTGCTGTCTACATGTATAATATGGTCCGTCTCTGTATTACAGTTGCAGCAATAGCAGGCTGGGTGCTGGGGAAGTGGTCCTACATGAAAACCTGTGAAAACAAATTTCTCTTACTGGAGAATTCTAACATTGGAGACTTGATTAGAAAGAGAAGAGGAATGGTGCCCATTGGTGGGTAAGTACAATGTACAAATTGAATGTACATAAAATACAATGTAAAAATTCTCCAAAATATATTAATACATATTAAGCAATTAATAGAGAATATAAACACTGCAATTTTCTGGCAAAACATTATAAATGGAGGAAGATACTTGAAGATCTCCTGTTGTCTCTTTTTCATCTTATTCCGCTCATCTGTTGCATAGAATGGTAATTTGCTCAAGCTTATTTCAAATTTGATTGTCATTAAAATGAAAATGTGTCTGTCATTAATTAAATGTTTTTCAGTGATGGTCCTAGTGCAGACCATTGGGGTACACCAGGGCATGAGGGGAGTGGAACCCTGCAGGCTCCAGACATGGGTTATGGTCAATTTAAGTCTCCTGGGTTAGCATATGTTACTTCTTTCATACTACAAGCCTAGAATAAATTTTTATATAATTGTCAGTATGAATTTAAATCTCAGGTATTTGCCATCATAGTACTGTAGTTCCTTTTTTTGTGACTCTTCGAATTCCTTTCTAGTCAGTTGTAATATAGATTTGACCTCTTCTTGTTCAGTCAATCTTCAGAGTATGGCAGTTACTCATCATTTGGGCAGGACTCCCCTGGGGCTTTCAGGGACACTGAAGAGGACTTATCAGGACCTGTAGAAGGTATAACTGTAAACCCATACAGAGCTCCATATGTCTGTACTGGATGCATGTGGACTTTGGTGCATCCAAAATTGGAGCTCTGCACCATTTTTGACTCGGTGCACCTAAACATTTGTGCAGGGTTACGTACAGAAAATGTGCCGTTTTAGACAAGTATTCTTCATATTCTTGACATTTATTACATGGTTATCAAAACGTGATTAAACTTTTGTTCTATCACTTGTTTAAAAGATGACTTGCTATAGGAGTCCCTACTCATGTTCAGTAGTAGCTATAGGCATTTAGTTGGTCTCGTAAGATCATGAAGATACTTCTACACCATGTACTTATTCTTTGTTTTATGCTTAGAGCATGTACAGTATGCAGTAATTTTCTATGGTTTAGGCCACACCAATTTAATTTCTTTGTTAACGGATTCGCCCGCTTCATTTTTTCTGATTTGCAAATAAAAATAAAAATTCAGAATCAACTGTAAAATGCTAATATTTTGCCCCGAACAGTTGAAAACAGTCCTTTCTTCCTAGTTGTTACAGTTATTCCATCTTTCAATGCAATGGTATCATCAAAATTCATTGTTTAAATTTCAAACCAGCCTGGTGTGTTGACTTCATGGCTCCTATCGTACTATTTTGGGCCATGATAGGATGCCTAGGCCTGTTTTTTTATTTTTTTTGCCCGCCCGCTCCATTATTTTTCTACAAAAATCCGTTAACCAAGAAATTGAATTGGTGTGGCCTAAGTGATGTACATGCATGTTGAGTCTGCAATGATGTCTTTACTTGACAGCCTTTGGCCCAATGTCTGTCCCTGAGGATGAACAGTCCAAGAAGTACATGACGTACGAAGAGTTACGGAAGCGGAATCGAGACTCCTCACCGCCGCCGGTGTCTACACCACCTCAGCCGTCATTTCAGCCGGCCTACAGGATTGGTCGGGACGGCAACAGGGAGAGTATTGAAGAAAGGTCGTCAGACGCTCAGTGTAAGTTCACGTGCTTGTGCCACCAGTGTCAGTAAAATACGATTCCTGATGATTTCTGACGATTCCTAACGATTCCTAACGATTCCTGATGATTCCTAATGATTTCTGATGATTCCTGATGATTCCAGCTGTTGCTGGTATTGTGTCCCACACTTATACAAATACAGGATAGACAATACTCATTTTCACTTGAGTTAAGTGGGGGAAGTCGTGTTAAGTGCCTAATTATAAGAGCACAAGATCGGTGGCATGTCAGGACTTGAACCCGAGACCTCTTGGTTCCGATTCGAGCACTCTGCTGTTGCACCGTGTGACCCCACTGGTAAAAGCAGACAAATTCCCAATATAACAATTTTTTGTTGATTTCTTTTACTCTTGTTTTACAGGGAAGAAGAATCAGTATGGAGATCTCTACAGAGATTGACAACAACAGATTATGTAGAACAGTTCTGTAGAATGGAAGGGTGGCACTGACTACTTGTACTTTAGTTTAGATATATGCAGACAATATACATTATACACCTAAGAATGGTTGAGAGGAATCCTGGAATGTTTCATAATGTTTTTGAATTTGAAATTGCTAGATTAAGTCTACAAATTTTGCATACATGTACTTGCATACTTGCTTATCAATTTTCCCAATTCTTTTCATAGACAAACAAACTTCATCAGAAATAATCTGGATATCTGTTTCAAACTTTTTAAAAGCAGCAAGAACAACTTTCATTTGTAAAAAAAGATGAAAATTATAAATGACAATATTGAAGCAGCTGTACTGATGTATGTAATTTCATGCAGAAGTTATTGTCAAATTATAAATTGTGATGATACCAGGAAGACAGTTGATGTACATGTAATTTTTCCTCATCTGTTAGAATCAAAAGAAAAGCTGTTCACGTTACTACTGAAAATTGTTGGGCATTTGTCTTACCATAGACTACATCTGTGTTAAAGATGAGAGGAAGAACAGTACCTACAGTACATGTAACGGTCATATGAAAATATTAAAAAAATACATTTTGTATCTCAATGTCAGTGTCATTTTTCCACAGTAGCCCGCTGAATTACTTTTGCTTCAGTAAAAAAAAATGTGTTGTAGCATGATAGTAACAGGAAGACTTGCAGTGCTATTTACAACATGAAGCCCAACCTGGACAAAACTTCACCACGAACCATTGCCTTTACGGTAAGAAATGCTAGGTGTCGCTTTTGATCCATGATATTGCAGTCAAGCAGCTAGCGCCCACCCCGTCTGAAAATAGGGAAGGCGAGAATCATGAATAAGCGAAAATGGAGGCAAAGTGTGCATATTTTAGGACATAAAACTAGCAGTTTTTTCAATACCTCTTTGCAATATTCATGTTGATAATATAAGCATAAGTTGTTCCTGTAATTGTCCTCGAGAGCAGATATGTGATACTTATGCACCCCTTGTTAACTAATGGTAGAGCCCAAAGCTTTCAAAATGGCGCTCGCCATGATCCAAACTTATCTTGTGGGAGTTCAAGCGACGGTTTCCCAGCTAATACAGGGCCACCGATGTCTGAAAGGTTGTTATGGTATATTTCTATATTACTGGCAAGTTTATGGAACGAATAATGTATGCATGACCCACATACGAACCATGTTTTGACATGATAAATTGTAAGGGTGGGAGGGGGGCAAAATTTGTGTCGACATGATACTAAGTATATTTACGAGACTTTTTGGAATACTGGGAAGAAGAAATCCGTATTGTATGCAGACTTATTTTCTTAACACCACGAAATTCTTCAAGCCGATCCTTGTCTAATGGTTAGGCCATATGTTTGACCGAAGTGTGCACTTCCGGGTTGCGAAATTCGCAACCCGGAAGTGCACACTTCGGTCAAACATATTATAATATGTAATTATTACAGTCAAACCTGTCCAAGCCGGCCACCCAGGGGACCGAAGAAAAGTGGTCACCTTGGACAAGTGGTCTTATTTAAGAGGGTAACCTCACAACATGACTGAGACATAAGTATACATGGTTTCCAAGTTGAGATGTTGTAATGTCAAATGCTGTAATATATAGTACTAGTAGTATTACTAGTATCTTCAGTTCTCTGATGAATGTATGTGGGGAGGGTGACACATGGAACAATTTACGTGGAACAAAAGCATCATCCAGCAGTCAAGGCAAACTGGCCGGTTTGTCCATGTTTTCTCATTAGTTATCATCAATAATCAACATGATCAAAAATGATGTGGTCACCATTGGACAGGTATTGGGCCTTGACCGGACTCAACTCAGGGCGGTCACGTTGGCCAGGTGGTCACCTTGGACAGGTTGCTTAATGCTTGTGTCAATGGGGAAAATTTTTGGGAGCGAGGAAAATCAGTCACCATGGACAGGTGGTCTGCTTGAAGAGGTGGTCACCTTGACAGGTTTGACTGTACATGTAGCATTTTCTTCAAGTAACGATGACTATAGCTACTATAGTAGTTGATGTAACATCCATGTCCATAATATCATCAGGGTCCATAATATCGCCACCTTCAGAAAAAGTGTGCTTAAAGATATTTTTACTGCAACATACCCTAGGTATGTACATTTGAGGTATGCAGGAGTGCATACCAAAAGTATGTTGCAGTAAAAATATCTTAAACTTAAAGCACACTATTTCTCAAGGTGGCGATATTATGGACCCTGGTGATATTATGGACACGGATGTTATTGTTTGATTCGTATACATATCATTGCTTTTCAATTCACTGTTGCCATTATATCTAAAATTTTACATTACATGTAATTGAAAGAAATGTCACATAACTATAAGCGTTGGACACACTAGCGCTGGTGTAATTTCTTTTATTTCATTTTAGATCCAACAAGACAAGACGGGAAGGTTGCCATAGTAACAGGTGGAGCAAAGGGAATAGGACTGGAAGTGACTAAAGGACTGGCACAACTTGGCGTCCATGTCATCATAGGTAATGTTTATGTTTTGCATAATAATTTTTGTATGCAGAATTTACTGCTGATGACCAACTATATGTATTAATCATGTTTTTTTTTTATTGGTCAAACATTACCCCTGCAATCGCAGCCCTTTATAGTGCCAAATTGATGCAGGGTTTACAATCAGTTTACAATCATATAAGAATCGATCAATAATCACAAAGAATCACATTATAAATACACATGATATAACATATTTGCTCCACACACTTTTTTTGTGGAACTGTCGCAAGGGTCTGTGCGGCTGACATTAGGCACCACAAGGTGACCTCAATACGACTTTCCCCAACCAAAGTTAGGTACCCATTCACACCTGGGTGGAGTGGGGAAAGTCGTGTAAAGTGCCTTTCCCAAGGACACAATGTCAGGCACATGTACAACTCGGGACCAAACCTGGGTCTCACTGCTTCATAATTGAACGCTCTAACCACTACGCCACCTGACACCACTAAAGAATAAAGTGGCTGTATTCTGCATCTGCAGTCATAGGAAACATCCAGTAGCTGCATTAAGTCTTTCTTCATTTCCTTCCACTGTGTCTTCTGTCTTGCGAGCTCCCTTACTTAGCTCTTGGACTCGGAGTTTCTTTTCTGTTGTGGGAGGGTCTAGCCCTCAGTGCTTCATGTCTCCCTTCAGCATGCTGAGCAGATTGATGCAGACTGTCCTCCTTCGCAAGCCTTGAATCTGCTGGTGCCTAGGTATTAGAATTCCAGGGCTTTTTTGTACAGGTGTGTTATTAAACAACATCAGATGAAAGCCAAACTAAGGCAATTGTTCATATGTATAGTGTATCTATAGCTGTCAATCATAATCTAATGATATTGATGTATCCTGCGACCTATTGGCAGGTGGGCGGAGCCAAGATGAAGCAAACACAGCCATAGAAACTATCAAGGGGTCCTGTCCACAAGCCAAAGGTCAGCATATATCAATTATGTTTGTAGATAAATAAATAAATAAATGTTTACCTTTACAGAAGGAAAACATATTGTTTTTACGCTGTTTCTTCTTCCTCTTCTTCTTCAAACAAATAAGGTCAATGACCTGAGCCAGATGTCTGTCAGCATGGTAACTAGTGTTGGGTTACATCATGTTGCAATCTTATAGCAGGAGGGATTTAGACTCCTGTCACCATATACATGTATGTATGAATGTGTTTGAGCAAGAATTAACAGACCATAAGCAATGGTAAACATTATGCATTTGCTATGCAAATGTTACCTTTCTAGTTCAATATTTCAAAGCCTTTGTTGCATTTTTTAAAACAATCACTTTCACAAGATTTCCAAAAGTAAATGGTGAATGTTTTGTACCTACAGTTGAGTTTGTTCGGTTGGACCTGGCGTCTATGAAGTCCATCCATGAGTTTGTAGATAACTTCAAGTCCAAGCACCTGCCATTACATCTGCTAATCAACAATGGTATGCATCACTATAAATATTTCGCCCAAGTAGTAAAGATCATGATTTGTATCTAGGGAAGATGTATTCTCTATGGGGGCCCCCAAGGCCTTTTCCGTAGAGCGTAATCGGCCGTTTTAATTCTACGTAGAGCGTAGACGGACCCTCTAATTCAACGTAGAGCGTAATTGGTGCATTTGGCGTAGAGCGTAATTTGCCGTTTTAATTCTACGTAATGCGTTGTAGCTATCGGGAATTAACCGTAAAGCGTAATCGATTAATTGTGCGTAGAGCGTAATCCAAGCCGCAAACGGGAACTCAAGGCCTCGCAAGTGCCGGGTTGTCGCGGCGCTCGAGGTCTTTCTTGCTCTACCCCCCTTGTATACAATCGACCAATCCACTAGACTTGTTCCCAGAGCCATACACAAGAACAAGGCAACACATGGGAATGATCCCACAGTGTGCTGGGTACGAGATTGACCTTACCATCGGTGACGTACACTAGGACCATTGGCCAAACGCCACAGATGGCCACAGATGAAGAGGGTAGAAGGCCTTAAAACCACATGACTTGTAAGGCCCAATAGGGGCCCTCAAGACATTTCTTAGCGGGAACATCATTGCTGATCAACGGCCAGTGTAATGGAGGACACTCCCGAAAAGAGCAATGTCATCCCCGTCATTGTGCGGGTGATGGGTAATAACGCGGGACCGTCAGTAAACGGCAGCTGAGTCGTTTTGACAAATTACGCAGTATTGTTTGCGGCCTTTTCTACCTTCGGACGACAACCCCACAAGGCTGAAAGGTCCACTTTTTGGTCCACTTTTTATCTAAAGGTCCAAGACTTTTCTTTAAAAGACGGACTGATTCGTGTCACCAGCAAGGCTGGAATCCGTCGTAGGAAAACGGCTCACTTTGTCATTGAAAAAGTTATCTCTGATTTTTTCTTTGAAACCCTCTAAAAACGCAGGAAATGCCATTTCAGAAGGTTCATTTTTCAAAATTTCCCGGGGGAGCATGCCCCGGACCCCCCTACGAACCTCGCGCCTACGGCGCTCGTTAGTCCCCCCCCCCTTCAAAATCCTGGCTACGGCCATGTTACCTCCATTCACGGATCGCCCTCCGATCTTCGGGTGATCGACTCGCGGTCAAGTTGGTACCTGCGGTAATACTGAATACCCCGTTTTGTATTCTATACTTTCAATCACGGTATAAGGAAGTGACCGCCGGTTACTACTTTTTATTCAAGTTATGTCACCTCTACATGTAATAAATCAAAAGGTTTTCACGCAAACATGCAGTTGCTAGGTGATTGAGTTCTGCATAGTGCGTTCGGAATATTTCGAATTTAGCGTAGAGCGTAGAGAGGCGTCCGGAATTTAGCGTAATACGTAGCCGGCTCTCAAAATTTAGCGTAGAGCGTTGTCGGGACCCCCCCTTGGAGGCCCCCCTCTATGATTGTGTAAAATATGGGTTTACGGAAAAACTCGGGTGCTTGCCAGCCAGGCTACCTGGCCTGTCACTCTGCAAGGGACACACGAGATCTGTTTACCTGTTACTGCTACTGTTGATTGCCCTTAGCTGATTAAAACTTCAAACAAACATTAAAACTTCTAACGAATATCTAGATTACTTTATTTAAATTTTCCGTGGGTAAGGGGTAACGTTTATAATACCCTCAGTATGTACCAGTGTAATGGGTGTACTTTCCATGCATTTCGCTAGATTGCGCAGCTGCTTGGATGTCTTATCTTTCGTGAGGATATGAATGGGGGGATCCGAGTAGCCTGACGTGCTAGCCAGGCCAGGTGGACAGGCCAGGTAGCCTGGCCTGGCAGGCACCCAGGTTTTTCCAAGACCCTGTAACATACAGTATACAAATTATGTCATTGACATACAAATGAATTTTTGTTCAGCTGTTAGCTTTTCTATTAATTTTTGTACTGTGTTTTTATTTCAACCTGATTCTTTATCTAGAAAATGTCTAGAAAATAGAAAAGTACATGTATCAAAATATAATTTTATCGATGTACGTGTACATATCTTTGTCTACCTACAGCTGGAGTGATGTTGACCCCTTACAGTCTAACAGAGGATGGATTTGAGACACACTTTGGAATCAACCACCTCGGTCACTTCCTACTGACCAACCTGTTACTGGACGTCCTGAGGTCCAGTGGAAAACCTGAGCGCTGGTCACGAGTAGTGTTTGTATCTTCGGCCGTACATTCCATTGGAGATATTGACTTTGCTGACTTAAACAGCAGGTAATAGTTACTATCATGAAAGTTCATCTGTGTTGGTAGTTACATGTTTAAAGTTAAAACTTTTGATCCAACACAAAAATTCTCTCACCTATAGAGCTTTCGACCAGTCACTCTGGTCTTCCTCAGTAGACTGACCCAGTGAAGCTTGTCACGTGGCTTCTTTGAAGTGTGACATCAACACTGGGTCAAAGGTATCTGGTAGACGATGGTCACCCTACATTGAACCGCGGCGGGGGTCGACATCGTCTACCAGATACCTTTGACCCAGTGTTGACGTCAGACACTTCAAAGAAGCCACGTGACAAGCTTAACTGGGTCAGTCTACTGAGGAAGACCAGAGTGACTGGTCGAAAGCTCTATAGGTGAGAGAATTTTTGTGTTGGATCAAAAAGTTTTAACTTTAAACAGGTAATAGTTACTTGTTTGATTTTTTTTTACTTGATATGGTTAGATGTGCTCTGTCTGCTGCAAAATCATGTAGTATAACACTAAGGGACACATTTTTGTCCATGCAGTTCTTTGGTGTGCATGCATTGACTACACATGCTTTTTTTTCATATCATTGTTAGTTTGAGACTACATGTACTAGGATATACTATAGTTGTAATGTCGGTATCTCCATCCTCTTAAATAAGTAATTTAGTCTGTCTTCAATGTAATTTCTTTGGTGTGCATGCATTGACTACACATGCTTTTTTTTGCATATCATTGTTAGTTTGAGACTACATGTACTAGGATATACTATGTTGGTATCTCCATCCTCTTAAATAAGTAATTTAGTCTGTCTTCAATGTAATTTCCACTTGGACATATCTTTTGACATTGATCTTTCATTTGCAGCAAACACTACTCCCCACATGCAAGATATGCTCAGAGTAAGCTTGCCAATGTCCTCACCACTTACGAACTTCAGAGAAGGCTATTGGCCGACCAAAGTCATGTGACTGTCAATGCCCTTCACCCTGGAGTTGTGAACTCTGACCTCTACCAGCATGTCCTGTGGCCTTTGAGAATGGTACAAAGCATCATGGGATGGATCGGTTTGACAAAGGTACAAGATCTCAGGCCGGAGTTTCTTTTACGATTTTTGTATGCGACGGACACTCTCAGGCTAAAGGGCTACAATTCTGCAAAGAAAAGTAGGCCGGAAAATCTGACATTATGTCAGTGAACAGCTGTTTTCAGCCGGCTTCCAATAATAGTTTGGGTATTGTCTGCTGCCTCTTTTAATTGGGATAAAAACTGTAGTAAGAATACTAAAATGTAAATGTTAGACAAAAAAAATATAATTTTTTACACTTTTCTTCATTGGAGCTGCCTGGAAAAAACAAATTTTCCCAGGGTAACGGCTTCTATGCTGAAATAGCTTACTACTTCGTGTTTCTGAAAAAAAAAATAGGTTGTTGCAAAAAGTTTTTTGCAATCGCTATTTGGGTCATCGGGTGACAAACCACATCACCCTTGCTCGTGAACTATACCAAAAACACTTTGCTGGCTGACCAACTTGACCACGGTGAAAAACACTACAAGACAACACTACAAGTTTTTTTGATCAATTCCAAAAAACTATTTGTAAATTAACAATGATTGCTGAGCAGTGGGGAGGCAAACCTAGCGTGACAACTAGCCTGTGAAACCCAAGCTTCGGGGGGCTCCCTACATAGTCCGCCACCCAAGATGGCGGACTACTAGGAAGCCGGCGAAAAGCGAGGTTCAGTCAGGCTAGCGTGACAACCACACAGATCCGACAATTTATTACACACTACTTGGATTTAAACTCTAGAACCTTAAGACTGAATCTCTTGTTTACAGTAGAGTCTAGACATATAGTAGACGTTTATTTTTTTTCTCAATATCTTTTTTTTTCACATTTGTACTACAAACACTTTCTATCTTTTCCAGACTCCTGCACAAGGTGCAGACACCATCCTGTATGCTGCCATGTCTCCTGACCTGGAGGGCATAGGAGGTCGTTACCTTGATAACTGTCAGGAGGTCCCATCCAGCGACCAATCATACGACAGAGACTTACAGAGGAGACTCTGGGAGGAGAGTTGTAGAGTTGTACATTTGGAAAACCTGTAAATATAAGCAGTGAATGATAATTAAGTCTATAATAAAATCTACATAGGCCAAAGCAACTAAATTTTATGGATGATATCCTTCGCAGACTCCAAATCTAAAGCGATAGGGTAAAAAAAAAAGATTCCTACATTTTCAAATTTTGACATTATAAACCTTGTTAAGTAACGCAAGTCGCAATCCGGTGAAACCGGTTCAAAACTACCTCCCGAGGTGGTTTGGGATCGAGGCGCTTTCAATGCCATTTGGAACGTTCAGATGGAGCCACTTAAATGTGGCTTGGTTGGAATCTGGATCGAAAGTGGTTGCAGCATCCCCGTGTGTATGGGGCCAAAAAGTGGGATACATGTACTAATAATATGTACATGTATATTGTATGCGGAAAAGCAAGCTGACGCTATAATTATAAACTCATCAGTCCCACAAACTTAGGATGAAGGCTGACTCTTTCCATTGTTTCCCTTTTTAAGCTTGACATATTCCCATCTGGACACTATATAATATTTAGTGCAGCACATTTAGCAGTATAACACAAGAAAACACTTAGAGGCCTGGCTTTTATTCAGAGCATGGTGCATTGGAAAATATATTATTTAGCGTACATGTAACTTTATTAAGGATTAATTTGGTCAAAAGTCTAATGTATGTCGCGGTGCCTAATATCAGCATTTGCTACCAGTGGGTAACCCATTGTAATGCAATGTCAAAATTCCAATAAAATACAACTTACAGATATTATTAATAATTACTTGTAACTGTTACATCTCAAAATGTCAGACCTGTAATACACCCAGATACCCTGTGATACTCAGTGAGATGTCGAGTAAGAAACTACTCAGTAGACTTAATAGTTTTCTACTAATCTCCAAGCACATGCCCGTAGCCAGGGGGGGTTTGGAAGAACCCTCCCACAAGGCTCTAAGGTCCACTTTTTGGTCCACTTTTGTGTAAAGGTCCACTTTTTATGTAAAGGTCCACTTTTTGGTCCACTTTTTATGTAAAGGTCCAAGATTTTTCTTGAAAAGATGGACTGGAATCGTAGAAAAACTGCTCCCTTTACCATTGAATAAAAATTTATCTCTGATTTTTTCTTGGAAATCCTCTCAAAAATGCACGAAATGCCATTTTAGAAGGTTCATTTTTCAAAATTTTCTGGGGGAGCATGCCCCCGGACCCCCTTAGGATCCTCGCAGTGGGAAGAACCCCCCCCATTCAAAATTCTGGCTGCGGGCATGAAGCAGATGTTTGGGTGGCTGCAAAATACAGTATCAAATTGGCCAGACAGTATCCATTGGTCAGGCTTTTGGGTGGCAAATAGATATACTGTCTGGCTAGTTTGATACTGTATTTTGCAGCCATCAAAACATCTGCTTGGAGATTAGTTTTCGACTACTTCGTAGCAGTTCCCATAAGATGAGGTGCAATAAGAGCCATCCTGATTGGTGCGTCAAACTTTTGATAGTCGACTTGTGAGAAGCCTGCCGTGTCCAGGTGTTTCCACAGTTCAGATCTGACAGTACAACCGTCAGACAGGTACGGCCAGACCACGTCTACCCAGTTCTGTATGGAGTATGCCCAGGTATCGGGGGCGGCACGAACATGTTCCATGTAGTAGAACTTGCCTCCCTAGAGTTGAAACAGAGAAAATTTAGAAGAACTTTATTGCATGACAATTATACATGGTACAATGTACTACATAAAGAGAGTAACAAACAATAAAATAAATTGTTGAATAAGACCTAATGTCGAATAAAACCTAACATATCTATCATATTTCATATAGTGTTACAATCGTACTAGTAGTAGTTTCATGTAAAAGAAAAAAGTTGTGATGAAAGTTTAGTGGAAAAAAGTGGTTACACCAGAGCTTGGCACAGGTGGGAAGGGTGAAGGACTTACTACCACATCGGCAGAGAATAGCCGTAGTCAACGCCTTAATAATCCCACATATAGACTACTGCTGCTCCGTATGGGGAAACACAACACAGAACAACATACGAAGACTACAGGTGGTCCAGAACAGGGCAGCAAGGCTAGCTCTTGGTTATGATCGGGATGCACATGTGGACACCATGCTGAAGACATTAGGATGGCTGACTGTCAGGGACAGAATCCAACAGAGAAGCCTTGTCACATTTAAACGTATCATGCTCACCAAACAACCAAAGGCCTTGTACGACAAAATCACATTCCAATCTGAGATCCACAAGTACAGCACACGTTCAACCAGCACAAACAAAATCAGACTACCAAAACCAAAATCAAACTCTCAGAAAAAGCGCTTTATGTACAGGATGTCACACACGTGGAATAACATAGGCAACTAGCAAAGTACTGGATTGTAAATAGTGAATTTGTGTAAAGTTTGCCATGTACTGTTAATTTTGTAATGTTTTTGTACGTTTGTAATATATGTATGTAAATATGAATGTGTAGACCACAGGAAGAATAGCCTCTTATGAGGCTAATTGTGGATCTGAATAAAACTGAAAAAAAAAAAAACTGAAAAAAACTAATGATTTGGTCCGCCATCTTGGATTTTGACCAATGACGTCATGAAATTAGCATGAATTATGCATATTTAATTCTAGAAATTACACAACGCCCCCCCCCCAAGAAAACTGTTAACTTAAAAAGTAGATCGATTATCAAAGGTGCTTTGTATGTGATGGCGGCTGAGAGTGAGAAGCTAATTTAAAAACAAAATATCATAAGATATTACAATCTACAATAGGTTTCAATTTTTGTCCCATACTCACTGGTTTCAGAACCCTCTTAATTTCGGCCAGCACTTTCACCTGGTCAGCCACGGAGCACATGACCAGCGTACACACGGCGACGTCCACCGAGCAGTCAGGTACCCCCGCCATCTCCTCCCCGGCCGCGATCACAAAATCCTGCAGCTTCACCTCTCCAAACTCCTCCGCGTTCTTCATCAAATACTTATCGAACTCCGGGTTGGGATCCACGGCGATGACTGACGTCCCCGCCGGGTAAAACTTGAAGTTCGCCCCGGCACCGACCCCGATCTCCAAGACGGTTAGATCCCCGGTATGATGCGTCTTCATGTCTTCGAAGAGTTTCTCCTTAAATGGGGACATCTTCTTGTTGTACGACTTCGCTATACGTGACAGAATATATGCGTAGACCTTTCTGTATATGAGACGAAAGACAGCCTTTCCTGGTTGAGTCGAGAGAGCGGCAACTAGAATCAAAACGAAGGCGAGAATCCACCAGACTACCGCCATGTTGACAAGCCGGCTAACCTAGGGTTTCCTAGAGGTCGTTGACCTTTTCCCTCTCACCTGAACTGTTGTGGGGCCCGTAGAGCGTAGACGGACCGCTCTATTATATATTATATCAAACAACGTAGAGCGTAGTTCGCCGTTTTAATTCTACGTAATGCGTTGTAGCTACCCGGAATTTATCGTAAAATATAATGGGGATCCTTCTTGAATTCAGCATAATACGTAGGGCTCTCTTAAAATTTAGCCGGTAGAGCGTTTTCGGGACCCCCCACGCAGGCCTTCTCTTGTGTCTGACTGTGCGGTTCTGGGCAGTGCTCGACTTCCGGATCAGGTTTCGTACGGTCCGCTTTGTAATATTGTGATAACAGGTGAGATTTAGATTTTAGTAGTGCTTGATTGCGGTAACTGTACCTGACAAGCCTGGGTTAATTAACGATTTTTAGAGAAAAGGGCTTGCGGGCCCCCTTATAATTAGACTATGATCTAACGGTATAGACTGACATTTGATTGAATACTACTACATTTTTCTGTTATGAATTCAATAACTAAGGACGCACGTATAACATACACGAAAGCACATAAACACTAATGGTGGTTTTTGTTTTGTGAGAGTGTTTACGATATTGTATTTTTTAATATAATTTATTGGAACATTTTTGTGCTGCCACTGAATGACGTTTTTCAGTTCAAGAATGTGTACCAACATTGGTAAATATTTAACAATGCCACAGTGCACATAATGTCATGGGATCAAACCATGATAATGTTAGGGAGAAACTTGAATGCCTCGCCACTATGTCAATATGTGTGAACTTTTAACCCAGTTGTTATGTAGCTTCATTGTGCATTTATATGGTTTAGTTTCATAGACACGTTTAGAGAATAAGCAAAAATAAATACGTATAGTGTAATACTGATCGCATATTAAAGTCATTTGAAATCTCTTCATTAAAAACATTAGGAAAAGAACAAATTCGGTGGAAAACGTGGCAATAAAAAAAAAGAGCGAATTGAATTGAATTGAATTGAAGTGGGTTTGATCTCTTTTTAGCAGAGGAATATGAAATGGGAAGATAAATGTACTGGAATGTATTAACAGAAGGAAAGTTTTTGAAGGCTGGTTAAATGCATAAAACTGACAGAAATACAAAATACCAGATGTTTACTTGAATGTATTTCACTCCTATTTTGTTACATAAATTTAATTTCACAATAACTTTACAATGTAAACAAAGTATGGTATCTACTGGTACATAACTATAGATATATAAAGGCAAATACTGAGGCAAATATATAAAAGGGTGTGTAATATATAGGATGAGAACGGGCTTTTGCAATCAGTGGAGGGATTTCTAACGTCTGGCATTCTCCGTAATTTACAGGAAGGCCAGCCACTATGGCGTCTTTGCTCCGCCGTTTGGCCCGCCCGGCCGTTCTGTTACCTGTAGGCGTTCCACTTGGCCTCTACACCTTCGCCAAACTCAACCCTGACGCGGCAACAGCTTACTACAAGCGCGCCTTCGCCTGGGGCTGCGCCAGATCCATGGACTTCAGCGAGAAGAAGCTAACAGAACTGAAGCAGGACGTCTTTGCTGGTCTTAGGGAACAGGGCACGGGTGCTTTACAAGTTTTGGAGATCGGGGTTGGAGGTGGAAACAACTTTAGATACTATCCTCCGGGAACCTCCGTCATCGCCGTGGACCCAAACCCTCACTTTGACCAGTACCTGAAAGAAAACTCGGACAAGTACCCAGATGTCAAGGTCAGAGCTTTATTATTCTCTGTTTCTTCTTCTCCAAGCAAATAAGGTCAATGACCTGAGCCAGGCGTCTGTGACCATGGTAACTAGTGTTGCTTTACATCATGTTGCAACTTCATATCGCAGAAGGGATTTACACTCCTGTCCCCATATATATAAATGTGTTTGAGTAAGAGCAGGTCATACGTGAAGGTAAACATCATGCATTTGCTCTGCAACTGTTACCGTTCTAGTTTTTTTTTTATATTTGCTTCGCCTGACTTGCAAGTTTGACAGTTTCCTTTCATACTCATAGAATAAGATTGAAAATTCAGTTTATTTATTTATTTTCCGTCCGATTTTTATCCAGGGTTGCCCAGCTCAGTGGCTAACACTGCTTTAGATATAGAGTGGGATCCTGCATCATGCCATGGAGTTAAAATCGATTTTAACTCCATGATCATACATATACTGTAGATAGAAAAAAATTAATGAAAATGATCACATGTACATGTAAAACTGGTAAACCTCTCCCAAAGACAAACATAGACTTTTTCAATCTACTTATGTCATGCCCTGCCCCTACGTACTTAGGCCAATATATATATATGTAGTGCATTACAAAAGAGAGAAAGTATTGTAACAGATAGCAGCTAACTCACATCATGTCATACACTGTTTACGTTCACATTCCTGTAGTAATACTAGTAGTCTCTTAGAATAGACTTGATTGTATTGATCACATTGTTATTGATGCCATACATTGTACCATGTATACTGTCGAGCAATAAAGTTCATTCATTCATACATAGATAAAACAGGTAGAATACATATTGTCACAGTTGTCTGTTATGATTTCATAAGATATCATAAACTTCTGCAGTAAATCAAATAACGTGTTGATTTTGATCTTCACCAGGTGACGAAGTTCATAGTTGCGGGTGCAGAGGACATGTCTGGCGTGGCGGAGGGATCTGTAGACGCTGTGGTGTGTACTTTGGTCCTGTGCTCCGTCCAAGACATGGACGCCTCAATCCGAGAGGTCAAGAGAGTTCTCAAACCGGTAAACATAATGTATTTGCTTTGCAAATGTTACCTTTCTAGTGTTTTGTATATTTTCCTGTGTGTTAGAACGGACCCATGGCCAGGAAGAATAGCTACTGTCATGTACATGTATGCTAAGTGTGGATCCTAATAAACTCAAACTGAAAGATGAATAACATTAGAGATAGATTATACAAATATAGCCTACATTCTAACCAAAGATTCAACTTCTAAATTTGATTAGATTCTGTATATTATTAACAAAGTGTATCTCGACACGACAACGGACAGTTTATATGCTTGGTGTATTCTCTATACCAGCCATGACGAAAAAATTACTTCCACTTCAAAAGAACGCCACAGTGACGTCATTATCTTTGGAGTTACAGACCAGAGGGGGAGGCAGGATTGTCGTGTTTTCTTGAATTTAAAAAAAAGGAGAAGAAACCACTCGGAATTCGTCCCCTTCCTCCAAATTGACGGGCCTCTAACATTATCGTGAACTATGAAGCAAGTTTGAACTGTAATGTTCAACACAAGAAAATGGACTCACCCAAATTTTCGACTGTACAACTCCAGTCTTTGTCAAGGAATGAACAATCCACCGCTTCCGTGACGTCACACAGATAACACACGTGACTCAATGAGCAGTGGATCATAGGTTGCATAAAGTCTGTGGCGCCCCCCGTCTCTGTTGAGGGATGGTACTGGAGTTGTACAGTCGAAAATTTGGGTGAGTCCATTTTCTTGTGTTGGACATTACAGTTTAAACTTGCTTCATAACGACTTCTACCAACACAGATGAACTTTCAAGATATTATCGTGAACTGTTTCATATTCGATTTTGGCATATGCAGTTTGACCATGACTTTCATCTCCTCACTCAGGGCGGAAAGTTCTACTACCTGGAGCACGTCCGCCACCCGACCAATGGGCGGGCACAGTTCATGCAGGACCTCCTCACGCCCGTGTTCCGGGTTCTGTCCGACGGCTGCCACGTCAACAGGGAGACCTGGAAACACCTGGAGGGTGCCGGGTTCACAGAGGTCAAGTACAGGATAGAGGGGAACCTCAGGCCCAAGTTCATGACGCAGATTCTGTACGGCACGGCTACCAAATAAATATCAAAAATAGAATTGTTTAAACATATTATGACATCCAAGCACTACGATGTAAATGAAAAACTATGTAAATTTGTCCATACATGTTTTAACAAGAATTCGGAGATCTCAAACCTCCATGAAATATAATGAGTTTTTGTAAATGTTTTTACACGGTACACTACACTGCAGTACAGAACAAAATAACACAGGTTTCTGTCCTAAAATAGGTCAGGCTGTCAACTCAGTACATGTAGTCTATTCCCGAGGGAGAACATCATCAATCAAACCTGGTATAGGCGCGCTGTCTGACCACACGTGTTTTGCGCTAGAGGAAGTCTTTAACCGGCACATCTGTTTTCCCTCAAAATACAAAAGTTCTGCTGCAGTACCAAGGTCAGCCACCAGGAGGCCCATATTTGACCATGACCTTCGGCTTCCTAAGACCTACCAGTATACCAAATATCATCACAATCCATGAAGGCGTTCTGAAATTATGCTGACTACAAATGTGCGGAAACACAAACACACAGACACACAGACAGACACACACAGAGACACGCCAAAAACAATACCTCCATTAATTTTTCATGGAGGTAATAATTATGTCTCAGCCGTCACTTTTCTTATGCCAATTCGACCAAGGAGCTGTAGATGCTCCCAAGACTACGACCGAAATACGATAACTAAGATTTTGAACCTTCTCCCCAAAAAAAAGATTCTTAAAAGATTTAAGAATTAAGATTAAAGAAGCTTCATATTGAGTAAGAGTAAATCGTACAAAGCAGCTGAAAAATTAACAAATAGATGCCATATGTGCAAAAAAAAAAACGGAAAACGATGCGCTTATGTCATAGAATACCAAAATCAATTTCAAAGGCAAAGTAGAAAATGCGAAAAAAATGAAAATAGTCTTGTTGTTTGTCTCTCGTGTACTCGTGTAGTAGATGTCATAACAAAAGCAAGTTTTTTTTTTTTGCTAGACTTTTTTTATTCGCACGCTCGCATCAAATTTGGGGTTCCGACTGGATGTCATCCATATAATCAAATTAATATGGCCTAAATAGCCTGACCGGCATACTGGGAACGAGATTGACGCGGAAGTGCTTCTGTGTATATGACCCCTGACCTGCTGGTGTACATGTGTGTAACGCTTGTAACCGTTTGCTCTACTCTTAGCTGTATACAGATCTAGTACCGTACCATATCATATCATATTATGTCCCGTCTAGCGTGGGCCAGTCTTGTGGTAGTGTTGGTGGCTGTGGGAATCGGCGTCTACTGGAACTACGATGGCTACGACCCAGGTAAGAATTTCCGCTTGTCATGTTCGCTTGCTTACACCGACACTTGCCCGATGCCCAGGCGGGCTGCTAACCTCTTCCTCCCGGCGATACTGCCTCCAGGGAACCGTTCACCTGCTACAGTCTGTCCTCATTAGACTAAATAGTAAGTCTACCTGAGTTAGACTTAGATTTCAGGCTGTTTGCTTAAAAGGTACACACGCCATGAGGCCAGCTCCTTGGCTACAGGGCCAACATTACATCATGTACAATATTGCTTTGGTGGGTGCGGCTGTCATGGTACACTGGTAAAATGTCCTTCGGGTCATGTGAGCCCCCGAGCCGAGGAGCTAGCATGTGTAGACTAGTCTCCACCAGACTCCTTTGCAGGCTAAATAAATAGTAGAAATCGGCCTAAAGGGGGATTTAATATTGGCCAGAGGGGTTTGCCGGCTAGAGAGGGCCCAGTTGCCGTGCACTGTGTAGGCCCTGGAGCCGGGGAGCTGATATACAAATGTAGGTAGGCCCCAGTAGGCCCTAAAGCCGAGGAGCTAGCCTGTGTAGACCTGGAGCCGAGGTGCTGGCCTGTGTATGCCTTGGAGCTGGCCCATGTAGCCCCTGCAGCCGAGGAGCTGGCCTGTATGGACCCTAAAATCAGTCTAACACATGTTGCAGTTTGTTTACTACTGACTACTGTGACCTTTCGTACGTTTAACCCTGACCTAAATGGTTTAATACATTGTACATGGGGTGGAACTCACCAATTATGTTACTGAGCAGATACCACTACATGAATTAGGTTTGACCATATGGAAGGCTATCGTTAAATACACTAAAGCAAGGAGTCGTAAAAGTATTTCAACAACAATATATCTTCTGCAAGACTGTGACAAGACAACAATGGTGTGACCCGAGCTCTGACAACAGCTGACAACAGTAAAGTAAAACAAATCCTACTTTGACTTGATTTTGTCATGTATTCATCCGCTCTGGGCAGGCAGAACCTCGTCACTGGACCAAATTTTTTAAAGAAAAAAAAAGGATTTTTAAAGATATTAACAAGGGACGACAATTTTGGAGCCTCTACTTCGCAACGCAATATAGTGACTTCTACCCTCCTGACAAACTCTTGTAAGCAACGCGTCACAAATACTACATAGTCACAGTGTTGTGGCTACAGTTTTGTATTTAGGAGACATGCAGCGTAGATACAAAGCGACGTCTATGTTTTTCCAGAGACAATACGCGGTGCAACAGTCGTCATCACTGGCTGCAGTACTGGTATCGGCGAAGAGATGGCGTACCAGTACGCCCGACTGGGAGCAAAGATCCTCATCACAGCCAGGAGGGAGAACAGGCTGAAGGAGGTGAAAATGATATGCCGTTGATGGCTTAGCGATAAAGATGCTGATGTTTGCGTCATGTCATCGAAAATAGATGGAAAGCCGAAGTTCTAACCATTTGGCATGTTACCTGCGGGGAAGGAGATATCCTTCCGCGAGAGGGTACTGTTTTCGGTCATGTTTCTGTGTTCGCAGCTGTAACTCATTGTGGGTTTGACGGATTTCTTTGACTTTGGTATATGATTATTTATTGGGCTCCAGATGATGCGGGTTTTCTCTTATAGCTGTTATATATATATATTTGTATTTCACAGGTATTGAAATCATATAATTGCTGTATGTGGGGTGGTATTAGCCTCCTTCGCAGTCTTGTTGGGCGTCGGCGTTATTTTTTTCTGTGAGCGACGCGAGTAATATACCGCCGAGTTTTTGCCGCGGAGAGAAGGTTGGAGCACGAAACCTTCTCTCCGCGGCAAAAACTCCCTCGGCAGCAAATCGTCCCTCGCGGCGGCATATTACTCGCGTCGCTCAGAGAAAAAATAACGCCGACGCCCAACAAGACTGCGAAGGAGGCTAGGGTGGTATCGTCTATCAAGTTGTTGTGAACGTTACGGGTTATATACTTATTTGTGGTTTATTTGAAATCTCAGATTTCCTTTCCCTCCAGATAACGTTTTATTCTCGAGATTGACTTGCAATGACATTTCTTTTCAGGTCGTAGCGAAAGCGAAGTCCCTGGGTGCCCAGGAGGCGCACTACGTGGCCGGGGACATGGGGAAGGCGGAGGACTGTGAGAGAACCATTCAAGTAGCCAAGGAGAAATTCGGTAGGGCTAACAAAGTGGACGTCAAAAGTGACAGCTATTCTATGATTAGATCGTAACCGAAATACACTGAGTATGCTATAGAGAATGATAAACTATAACAAGAATTCCACGATCTCATACCTTCGCGTAGATCACGAGATATCAAAACCGAAAGTTCTGCTGCAGTACCTAGGAAAGCCGCCAGGGGCCCCAAAATCTAATCATTTCTAGGTCTCATAAAGACCTACCCACCTACCAAGTTTCATTCCAATCCATCCACTGCTTCTCGAGTTATCTTGCTAAACCACACACACAAACACACACAAACACACATACCCACACACAGACAAACGCTACTGAAAACATAACCTTCTTGGCGAAGGTAAAAATAAAGATATACATGGAAACAGACACATGCACACACACACACACACAAATACACACACACGCACACATGCCATAGTAGTCATTTTTAGTTTAATTTCTTTTTTTTAGGACGTCTTGACTATCTTGTCCTGAACCACGAAGGGTCAAGTGTCAAGAATATCCACGAGTACTTTGGGACAAAGTCTTGGCTGGAGGACCCTGATATGGACTTCTTCGTGGACTACATGAAAATCAACGTCGTCGCTTACGTCCGGCTGGCCTCCCTGGCACTGCCTCTGCTGAAGGAGAGCAAAGGACACATCATTGTTATGTCGGCTTTCATTGGTAAATATATGTTTACTACCTTCCCAAAAGGAAAACATGTTGTTTTTGCCCCGTTTCTTTTTCTCCCGTTCCATTCCAAACAAATAAGTTCAATGACCTGGACCAGACGGTTGTCACCATGGTAACTCAAGGGGTTGGATTACATTGATTTAGCAAATTGGCAGGGCAGACCTCCAGGGGGTGGTTGCCATATATGGTTTCCAGGGAATACATTATGTAGCAAGCTGGCAAGGTGAGCTGGAGGAACTGGTCACCGTATATATGTATGTGTTTGAGCAAGAATAAGAATAAGCAGAGAAGCAGTACTATTTTTTTTTTTTGGCCACATATAGAACTTGCAAAGGTAAACATTTTCTTTGCCAGTGTTTCTAGTTTTACTGTACATTCGTTTTACATCATTGCCATCGCCATCTCCTTTTCCATCGCTTCATCTTTCATCTGTATCGCGTGTATCTCTGTAGTTAGCGTCCTGCCCCTGGACCATGAAGTCATGAGTTCGAATCCTGACTCTGTCGGTCAGCCGACTTGCACGCTACTGGAAATGGTGACAGTCCTTAAGACGTGATCCACTGTTCATTCTACTTGTCAAAAAACGCTACAGGAATTTTCCCGGTACAATATAAACTTGAAAATACTGTACATAACACCTGGGCCTGATCTTCAAAATGGTCTCTAGTTTGCCATATATTTTTCCAAACTTTGATCGCTTATTCTCTTAAAAACATATTGTTTTTACTCAGTTTCTTCCTCCTCCTCTTCTGTTCCAAACACTAACCTCTGACCTGGCCAATGACATGATTTGTTGACGTCTGTCACCATGGTGACTGGTGTTGGGTTACATAATGTTGCAATTTCATGGTCTGCTCTACTGCTGTCACCATATACTCGTAGTACATGCATATGTATGTGAATGTGTTTGAGTAAAAATTAACAGGGCAGACCATGTCCGAAGGTAAACATTATGCATTTGCTTTGCAAATGTTACTTCTCTAGACGTTTGAATGTTTTTGTTTTTCTGTAGGGAAAGTTCCGTTTCCGAACATAACCTGGGGCGTGACGGTGAAGTTCGCCCTTGACGGGTTCTTCAGCTCCCTCCGTGTGGAACTGATGAAGGCTGGACAGGACGTGTCCGTCACACTGCCGATACTCGGCATGATAAGAACCCCAGCGGCGCAAGAAATGATGCAGGTAGCTACTTATTCATTCGTTTAGGCCACACCGCCTTAATTTTATGGATGACATCCGCTGAAGACCTCCAAACTATTGCGCGCGGGTGAATAAAAAAAATCCGGCCAAAAATAAAAATGCTACTAAAGCACAGGAATACAAAGCTGGTATTGTGAATTTGCGGCAGTACTTAGCGACGTATACGACAAGCCGGCACATGCTGGCTTTTTGCGGAATTAATGAATTGGCACTGTACGTAAGTACTGAGTTCTTGAGTCGTGGAACTTCGGTAGCCTGGGTGCCCAGCTCCGTATTGATCTGGTGTTAAGTGTATCGCTGTTGGGGTTGGTTCTCTTCGGGGCTGCAAAAGCTCTTGCCCGCCCGACCCAGCTAGGTTTCCCGGAAGGTTGTGCATGACTGGATCGGACACCACAAAAGCATAACAAGGCATTTCATTTATTTTTAAACCAAGAAGTAAAAGAAGGACGATCTCCTAGGTGCAGTTCCAATAAGTTCTGCATGAGGGCACCTACAACCTCCTGAGGCCCTAGGGGTTTGTTGCAAAGAGCACTTCTGCCGATTCTATCGCTATATTCTTGAAATTTTATACTGACATGTACCACAATTACACAAGAATTCGGAGACCTCTTACCGCTATGAAATATATGAGTTTTTGTAAATGTTTTTTTATTTGTCTCATTGACTATGGAAATAAGGTAGTAATTAGCATAATCTAGTTTAATTTCTAAATTCAAATGACAATATTTTTCGTGTAAAATTCCTCTCCTTTGTCATACTTCATTTCAACAACATGTCCTCAATAATTATGCAAATGACTTCAACATTAACATAATATATGCATAGTGGTGTTAACCTTTAAGTAACTTACACATGTCACAAGGTATAAAATTCCCATCATTCACCAATAAGAAGTCACAGAATTTTCACATTAATTAAGGCATTCCTCCACCCAAGAAGTAAAAGAAAAACGGTTTCTTGCAGAAAACGGAGAAGGGACGGGAGTTGCTGAAGATGGCCGAAAATGTTAACGATACAGCCCTGGCCATCATCCGGGGAGGGGCCACCCGAGCCCGGGAGGTGTACTACCCGGCCTACATGTGCTGGACTCTGACCAAACTCAGGGCCATAGCTCCTGCCTTAGTCGACTACATCGTCATGAATATGGGAGACTTTTAATGACTATCATGAAAGTTCATCTGTGTTGGTAGTAATCATAGTAAAACGTTGAACTTTATTCCAACACACAGTTTACAGAGATCAAATTTTCAGCGACCACTGTCGCCTTTATCAACCAAAGTGAAGCTAGCCGGCGTTACAGCCTTCGATTCGTAGCCGGCGTTTCAGCCGGCGTTTCGCCGCTAGATGGAACATAGCAACTGATTCGGGTACCGATTCGAAAACCCAAAAAATCAGTAATTTAGCCAAAAAATATTGGCAGGTGAACTTGAAAAAGCGTTATGATAGCTTAGTACATCACAAGTCTACTACAAGTTTCAGATTTTACCTGCCGGATTTAATTAGGCCGTTGACAGCGGGCCTAATTAGGCATAAGAGATATGTGTACTCAGCAGTTATATCTCCACCAAACTGAACGTGGCCTTTACAGACGGATTACGGTAGTCAACAACCAAGACTATATACACTAAAAGTATCAAATTCAATGGGTCGGATTTGATTAAGGGGGCACAAGGGTACTTACGTATGATAGGGCTGAATTTCAAATCCTACGCCATCTGAGTGGGCTGCTGGAAAGGGTATAAAGTGAATCTGACGTCTAACAAAATGTGGCCCGTTAAATTCAAAGATTGATACTTGTAGCAATACACTTACTCTATGTCCTAATGGTATGAAATTCAATGGGCCGGATTTAATTAACGTGGCACGACGGTACTTAATGAGTATGACAGGGCAGAATTTCAAATCTCCCGCCACAATTCACTGTCTACAACAAACTAATGCCGGCTAGCCAAACTAAACGTGGTCCACTAACTCAAAAGTCGGATTACGATAGTCAACAACCAAGAATATATGCTAAAAGTATCAAATTCAATGGGCCGGATTTAATTAACGTGGCATGACGGTACTTAATGAGTAAAAGAGGGCAGAATGTTATATCACCCGCCGCGTTTATTGTCCGCTCCGAAATAAACGTGGCCCGCTAACTTTAAACAAGGGTTACGAAAGTCAAAAACTAAGACTAAACGGGTCAAATTCAATGGCCCGGATCTAATTAAGGAGGCACGACGGTACTTAATGAGTATGAGAGGGCAGAATTTCAAATCTCCCGCCACGATGCACTGTCTACAACAAACTAATGCCGGCTAGCCAAACTAAATGTTGCCCGCTAACTTTAAAGACTGATTACGATAGTCAACAACCAAGACGTTATACTAAACGGGTCAAATTCAACGGGCCGGATTTAATTAATGAGGCACGACCGTACTCAATATTGAGAATGAGAGGGCAGAATTTCAAATCTCCCGCCACGATTCACTGTCTACATATACACCAAACTAATGCCGGCTAGCCAAACTAAACGTGGCCCGCTAACTTTAAAGACTGATTACGATAGTCAACACCTAAGACTTTGTACTAAACGGGTCAAATTCAACGGGCCGGATTTAATTAATGAGGCACGACCGTACTCAATATTGATAATGAGAGGGCAGAATTTCAAATCTCCCGCCACGATTCACTGTCTACATATACACCAAACTAATGCCGGCTAGCCAAACTAAACGTGGCCCGCTAACTTTAAAGACTGATTATGATAGTCAACACCTAAGACTTTGTACTAAACGGGTCAAATTCAACGGGCCGGATTTAATTAATAAGGCACGACCGTACTCAATATTGAGAATGAGAGGGCAGAATTTCAAATCTCCCGCCACGATTCACTGTCTACATATACACCAAGCTAATGCCGGCTGGCCAAACTAAACGTGGCCCGCTAACTTTCAACAAGGATTACGATAGTCAACACCTAAGACTTTATACTAAACGGGTCAAATTCAACGGGCCGCATTTAAATAATGAGGCACGACCGTACTTAATGGGTAAGAGAGGGCAGAATTTCAAATCTCCCGCCACGATGCACTGTCTACAACAAACTAATACCTGCTAGCCAAACTAAACGAGGCCCGCTAACTTTAAAGACCGATTACGATACCCAACAACTAAGACTTTATGCTAAAAGGGTCAAATTCAACGGGCTGGATTTAATTAATGAGGCACGACCGTACTTAATGAGTATGAGAGGGCAGAAATTCAAATCTCCCGCCACAATGCACTGTCTACACCAAACTAATGCCGGCTAGCCAAACTTAACGTGGCCCGCTAACTTTAAACAAGGATTACGATAGTGAACAACTAAAAATTTGTACTAAACGGGTCAAATTCAACGGGCCGGATTTAATTAATGAGTCACGACGGTACTTAATGGGTAAGAGAGGGCAGAATTTCAAATCTCCCGCCACGATGCACTGTCTACAACAAACTAAAGCCGGCTAGCCAAACTAAACGTGGCCCGCTAACTTTAAACAAGGATTACGATAGTGAACAACTAAGACTTTATGCTAAACGGGTCAAATTCAACGGGCCGGATTTAATTAATGAGGCACGACCGTACTCAATATTGATAACGACAGACTGATTCAAATCTCCCGCCACGATGCACTGTCTACACCAAACTAATGCCGACTAGCCAAACTAAACGTGGCCCGCTAACTTTAAAGACTGCCCTCTCTTACCCATTTAGTACGGTCGTGCCTCATTGATTAAATCCGGCCCATTGAATTTGACCCGTTTAGTTCAAATTCTTAGTTGTTAACTATCGTAATCCTTGTTCAAAGTTAGCGGGCCACGTTAAGTTTGGCTAGCCGGCATTAGTTTGTTGTAGACAGTGCATCGTGGCGGGAGATTTGAAATTCTGCCCTCTCTTACCCATTAAGTACCGTCGTGCCTCATTAATTAAATCCAGCCCGTTGAATTTGACCCTTTTAGCATAAAGTCTTAGTTGTTAGGTATCGTAATCCTTGTTTAAAGTTAGCGGGCCACGTTTAGTTTGGCCAGCCGGCATTAGTTTGTTGTAGACAGTGCATCGTGGCGGGAGATTTGAAATTCTGCCCTCTCTTACCCATTAAGTTCGGTCGTGCCTCATTAATTAAATCCGGCCCGTTGAATTTGACCCATTTAGTACAAAGTCTTAGGTGTTGACTATCGTAATCAGTCTTCAAAGTTAGCGGGCCACATTTAGTTTGGCTAGCCGGCATTAGTTTGGTGTATATGTAGACAGTGAATCGTGGCGGGAGATTTGAAATTCTGCCCTCTCATTATCAATATTGAGTACGGTCGTGCCTCATTAATTAAATACGGCCCGTTGAATTTGACCCGTTTAGCATAAAGTCTTAGTTGTTAACTATCGTAATCCTTGTTTAAAGTTAGCGGGCCACGTTTAGTTTGGCTAGCCGGCATTAGTTTGGTGTCAGACAGTGCATCGTGGCGGGAGATTTGAAATTCTGCCCTCTCTTACCCATTAAGTACGGTCGTGCCTCATTATTTAAATGCGGCCCGTTGAATTTGACCCGTTTAGTACAAAGTCTTAGGTGTTGACTATCGTAATCCTTGTTTAAAGTTAGCGGGCCACGTTTAGTTTGGCCAGCCGGCATTAGTTTGGTGTATATGTAGACAGTGAATCGTGGCGGGAGATTTGAAATTCTGCCCTCTCATTATCAATATTGAGTACGGTCGTGCCTCATTAATTAAATCCGGCCCGTTGAATTTGACCCGTTTAGTACAAAGTCTTAGGTGTTGACTATCGTAATCAGTTTTTAAAGTTAGCGGGCCACGTTTAGTTTGGCTAGCCGGCATTAGTTTGGTGTATATGTAGACAGTGAATCGTGGCGGGAGATTTGAAATTCTGCCCTCTCATTATCAATATTGAGTACGGTCGTGCCTCATTAATTAAATCCGGCCCGTTGAATTTGACCCGTTTAGTATAACGTCTTAGTTGTTGACTATCGTAATCAGTCTTTAAAGTTAGCGGGCCACGTTTAGTTTGGCTAGCCGGCATTAGTTTGTTGTAGACAGTGCATCGTGGCGGGGGATTTGAAATTCTGCCCTCTCTTACCCATTAAGTACCGTCGTGCCTCATTAATTAAATCCGGCCCGTTGAATTTGACCCGTTTAGTATAACGTCTTGGTTGTTGACTATCGTAATCAGTCTTTAAAGTTAGCGGGCCACGTTTAGTTTGGCTAGCCGGCATTAGTTTGGTGTAGACAGTGAATCGTGGCGGGAGATTTGAAATTCTGCCCTCTCATACTCATTAAGTACCGTCGTGCCTCCTTAATTAAATCCGGCCCGTTGAATTCGACCCGTTTAGTATAAAGTCTTAGTTGTTGACTATCGTAATCCTTCTTTAAAGTTAGAGGGCCACGTTTAGTTCGGAGCGGACAATAAAGGCGGCGGGTGATATAACATTCTGCCCTCATTTACTCATTAAGTACCGTCGTGCCACGTTAATTAAATCCGGCCCATTGAATTCATACCTTTAGGACATCGAGTAAGTGTATTGCTACAAGTATCAATCTTTGAATTTAACGGGCCACATTTTGTTAGACGTCAGATACACTTTATACCCTTTCCAGCAGCCCACTCAGATGGCGTAGGATTTGAAATTCTGCCCTATCATACGTAAGTACCCTTGTGCCTCCTTAATCAAATCCGACCCATTGAATTTGATACTTTTAGTGTATAAAGCCTTGGTTGTTGACTATCGTAATCCGTCTTTAAAGGCCACGTTCAGTTGGGTGCAGATATAACTGTACACATATCTCTAATGCCTAATTAGGCCCGCTGTCAACGGCCTAATTAAATCCGGCAGGTAAAATCTGAAACTTGTAGTAGACTTGTGATGTACTAAGCTATCATAACGCTTTTTTCAAGTTCACCTGCCATATTTTTCGGCTAAATTACTGATTTATTGGGTTTTCGAATCGGTACCCGAATCAGTTGCTATGTTCCATCTAGCGGCGAAACGCCGGCTGAAACGCCGGCTACGAATCGAAGGCTGTAACGCCGGCTAGCTTCACTTTGGTCTTTATCAGGATAATTAATGACCAATCACTTCACAACGTGGTCTCGCGAGAGTTACGGTTTACAAACACGTGACCTTATTCCCACGAGACTTGACTGATACGTGACGTAAAAATTGATCAAAAGTGCAATTGATCAGTAAAAGTGTCGTGTGAATAAGGTCACGTGTTTGTAAACCGTAACTCTCGCGAGATCACGTTGTGAAGTGACTGATCATTAATTATCCTGATGAAGGCGACAGTGGTCGCTGAAAATTTGATCTCTGTAAACTGTGTGTTAGAATAAAGTTTAACATTTTACTATGACCTTGTTTCACATATATTTTGTCACTTTTCTAAAATAGCGTATAGTTCTTAGTCCTACTTTACATGGAGCGACTTTAACATTGTTTAATAACGTTCTGGGCAGTTTGTTTTGAATTATGAGATGCGTGTGTAGTGTTTGACCATCCAAGTAATGATTATTGAAGCTATGATATTGGATTAAATTTTACTCTTCTTTTTCTACACTGGGTGCTGCAAAGCGGGTAGACTAGCCTCTACCAGGGTTCTAGGGTGACTGAAAAGAGTGCTGCAATTGTACTCCTTGAGCAGACCTAGTCCCCCAGCATGTTATATGTGTATTTGGCCAATTTCTACACTTTCCAGCCGCTTCTGAAGCCTGGTAGAATTTCTATTGTCACTGCTATTGTAGGTAATACGTGTAAATAGAAAAAAATCGATTCGCGAGTGTTTTATTGGATCAACAATATATCAAGTAAAAATAATGTTCTACATCTCAGCATAGATACAGGGTGTTGTTTTTACTTGACATCCCGTTTATGTTATGAATCTATATACTGATTCCATGAACCACAGAAAAGAGAGCTCTGGGCAGCTCCAGCCCAGATGTGACAGCAATATTCCATTTTAGGTCTAATCTGGCTCTTGTATAAGTATAAGATGGCTGATGGTGTTAAATACTTTTTGGTGCGGTACAAGGAACTGTTGAAATCAAACGCCCTGTATTTTTTTTGATAATGAACACATGTGCAGCTCTTATTCCATTTTACATAATAACTATTATAAAGGCATACCTTTATTGTTGATAGTACAATAATACTCTGGTTACAGTTGTGATGTTGGAAGTTCTCAAATTAAATTACATATATATATGTGTGTGTGTGTGTGTGTGTGTGTGTGTGTGTGTGTACTAACACCATCTTTTAGCAAACCAAAGTTTGCAACATGGGTGTTGTCTTCTGTCAAAATGTTAGTAATTGTTAATTATTTGTTAATTGTTAAGAAATGTTAGTAATTGTTAATACATCCTGGTTTTTAAATGAGTCTCTTCTAAATCATGTCATATTCCACACTACTAATACAATACTAATGTGCCAACCAGAAAAAGAACAAATTATATTTGGTATATGTACAAGTTGCGCGAACATAACCATAAAATGAACGGACTTAGTTACAAAGCTTAAACACATTGTCCTCTTACCACTACAATGACAGAATTTGTTCAAAACGCAGAACTCGGGAACGCAGACTTGTTGGTCGCTCTTTCTTGATCTTAGGTCTCAGGAAAGAAAGCCTGTAACAATAGATAGAACGTTTCGTTTGTTTAAGTTAGTTTGTTTGAACCTTGATTACCTCCATGAAAAATGGAGGTATTGTTTTTGGCGCGTCTGTCTGTGTGTCTGTGTTGTTGCCTACCTTGTCCTGCTGCAGCAGTTGTTCCAACATGTCCTCCGTTACGTCAGGCGTGGGTCTTACATCCGGGTCATCCAGCCAGCAGAGGTTCATCACTTCATACCTATAAGTCAGGCACAGAAAACACAAAGTCATCTTAACACCCTCTGATTGTTCCTAAGCTTATAAATCTGTAGACACTGCAGAGTTCTTTATGAGCACAAAAGGTTAATCTTTTTTTTAAGCAGATCGACCACAAACCAATCAAAGTTGGCTAAAGGTCGGGGGCAATCTGACCAAAAATTAGGCCACGCTCATACCTTTCTATACGAATGAAATCGAATTTGAGTTCAATTTGAGTCAACTTTGACCTCTGAACACGCCTCGAGCACTTAAGATGACCTACTCCTAAACACCAGACAATCGCCAGCCAACCATGGCACAACCACCATGGTCCACGCCCGGATGTTTTAAGCATTTTGAAACATTAACTCGGCTGGCGTTGTTCAACAGTAGCCGACCTAGAGCTCTCTAAACACCAGCCAACCACAGCCGAACTTAATGCTTCCGACCTACCCCTAACCATATAGTTGGGGGTACTTTTGGACAAATATTGTTAACGATATATAATCACAACAAAAAGTTAGCTACTCTGGAGAGCTTTCGAGACGCACTCTGTCTCTTCATCAACCGGTAAGATCTCGAATTGGAGCTCTCTTGTCACGTAACTTGATGTTGTTACGTGACAAGAGACAGTCATATGTATCCAGGCTTGAGCTAGTTGGGGACTCATCAGTGTTTGAGAGGCCATACTCGGCTATGTGTGAAAGAGGCTTTAGGCCACACCAATTCAATTTCTTTGTTATCGGATTTTTCTAGAAAAATAATGGAGCGGGCGGGCGAAAAAAAAAATAGCCCTAGGCATCCTATTATGGCCCAAAATGGTACGATAGGAGCCATGAAGTCAACACACCAGGCTGGTTTAAAATTTAAACAATGAATTTTGAACTTTTAATGATACCACTGCATTGAAAGATGGAATAACTGTAACAACTAGGACGAAAATGACTGCTTTCAACTGTTCAGGGCAAAATATGAGCATTTTGCAGTTGATTCTGAATTTTTTTTTGTTTCAAATCAGAAAAAAATGAAGCGGGCGAATCCGTTAACCAAGAAATTAAATTGGTGTGGCCTTAGGCATGGATGTTCTATTTTACTCACAGCTCGTCCGAGCAGCCGTTCGGTTTCTGCAGGCGGTACCCGCGCCGGAGCCTGGTCACCAGTGTCTCGTACCCACAAACCTCCGGGTAAGGTGTTCCACCTGGAAACAGAAATAAAGAATGGATGGACGACCTTCATTGTACATTTATGCCATCGAAAGAAGTCAAACCCTAAAAGTCTAGATTGTATTCTGAATAGTTGAGTTGTTTTGAATATAGAATAGTCAATTAAGAAGCGAGAAGAAGCAGAGCCTGTACATATGTAGTTTTTTTACTATAGATATATTTCAGTCTACCATGGCTATTTACCATGACCTGTACTTAGTTCGCAATGAGCAAAAATGTGCACAAAGGTCTTTCATATAATAATATATAAAGTTTAATGTCACCAATAATAATCATCATACAAAACCAATACTAGCTGTCCTGTGAAGAAGTACATGTATATAATCTATGATCTCTGTCATTGTCATTTCTACTTCAGATAAAACCAAGGCAGAGGCACTCACCCAGAGTTGCTATCTCCCACAGGACGACTCCGAACCCCCACATGTCACTCTTACAGCTGTAAACACCCTCAATCAGAGACTCTATTGCCATCCACTTGATAGGGAGTAGCAGGTTGGTCTATGGGAAAAATAAATGTGACATATGGAATTCAAAGTCTAACGACAAAATTGCCTTTATCAACGGCATCCAATGTAATTATTATTATCATATAGTACCTACCAGTGGATGTCTCATGTACTGTGTCGTCACGTACACGTCACGGGCCAGTCCGAAGTCGGAAATTTTGGCGACCAGCCGGCCGGCCTGTCCGTCAGGAGAGCACAGGACGATGTTCCTACACGCCAGGTCACGGTGGGTGATCTGTGGAGAGAAAATAACAACAAGAGTTCGGAGATCTCATAACTCCATGAAATACACGAGCTGTTGTGGCCATGAAAAATGGAGGTATTGTTTTTGGCGCGTCTGTGTGTGTGTGTGTGTGTGTGTGTGTTTCCGCACATTTGTAGTCAGCATAACTTCAGAACGCCTTTATGGATTGTGATGATATTTGGTATGCTGGTAGGTCTTAGGAGGCCAAAGGTCAAGGTCAAATATAGACCTCCTGGTGGCTGACCTTGGTACTGCAGCAGAACTTCTGGTTTTTGTATATTTTTGCAAGGCAGGGAAAACAGATGTGTGGGTAGGCAGCGCGGCTTGATTAATGAGGTTCTCCCTCTGGAATAGGCTACATGTACATGTACAGTTGACCCCTGAGTTGACCACATCTATTACAGCCTGGCCTATTTCAGGCCAAAGGAGCTACTGTATTAGCAGAAAGGCTGTGTGTTTGAAAACAAAAACCCGTGTTATTTTGTTCTGTACTGTAGTGTACTGTGTAAAAACATTTACAAAAACTCATATATTTCATGGAGGTATGAGATCTCCGAATTCTTGTTTCATTTTGTTCATCCCTCGTCATGTAATTGAAGTAATCATAATGATGCTTGACTTCTTTGTCAAATGTCACAACGCATTTCTGTCTGTTCTAACTAACCACCAAGGAAAATGACGCGTTTCGTATCAAGTCTACAAATTTGATTATGCAAATAATGAGCGTATTAACATAATTCTATTCTCATAGAAATAATACAAAAATAATACCTCCACGAGAGGTAACAATCATGACGTTTGTCATACTAAGCCACCGCTGTAAATATTTCACTGCTACTTTGCTGCAATGACTAACAAAGCGACGTACATTGTTATACAGATCACTATTCGAATAGAAATGTGGCTAAAAAAAATTGAGGTACCCGTCGGCGTTTGAGCTCGAGCATGCCCCGGGCGATGTCCATGGCCACCTCGGTGAGCTGTCGCCCTAACCCCGGCGGGAAGCCATCCTGGTGCCGGCTGTTCTGAACACTGAGCAGGTACCAGAGCAACTCCCCTGGCTCAGCGTACTCAACAAGAATGTACCTTGGATCTGACAAGATAAATTGTACATACAGCTGGTGTGTTACGCCGAAAGGCAGTTATACCGGCTATACTGATACAGATACAGATATTTTAAGCTGTGGAAATTCATATCATTATCAACACACTTAAAGCCACTGTCACACATAGTAGAATATGGCCTCCAGAACAATAGCCGACTTATACCCTACCATGGTTACATGAAGGATTAGTTTGGGAGTTTAGTTTGGGTTTAGTTTCAGTTGAGTCACTAAGCGGTAGGGAAATGGTTGGCAGCGGAGTTCGACTCAAATTTAACTCAAAGTTGATTCGATTCGTATAGAAAAGTAGGCGTGTTCCAAAGCTAGTCAGACTTCTCCCGAACTTTGTCAAACCTTAGTCAACTTGTGGGAAGGTTCAAATGAATGTGTGACAGGGGCTTTAGTTCTCATAAGCTTTACAGAGTGCCCAACTACTCTCCAAACACAGGTTTGGGTTTGGGGTTATTTTTGGAGTGTTTTTAGGCTTTTGTATCGGGGTTACTCTTTTGCACTGGAATTTTTTCTCTCCCAAAAATTCCAGTGCAAAAGGTAAGCCCCGATAAGAAAGCCCCAAAACACGCCAAAAATAACCCCAAACCAAAACCTCTGCTTGGAGAGAGTAGTGTCCAACGGCTAAAAACGGAAATAGATTCAAACATTTTCCGTTGTGTATGCTAATAAGCAACTCCCAAATATGGTCATGACCGACTGCGCACCTTTCTTTTTCACCCCGTCAATCACCAGACCAATCAGACCGATGATGTTCACGTGACCGCCATCGTCGTTGACCTCCACCAGCAGGCTCGCTTCCTTGGCGAAGTCTCGGTAGGTCATCTCGTTTGCTCGGTCCACTCTGTAGTTACAATGACGATCATCATTATTAAGATCGTATAGATTGTTTAAAACTGCATATAATGAAGAAAAATACCTAAGTAATGAAAATGTGAAGATCAGAAATTCAGTCACAAGACTAAGGATAAGCTGCCACAAACTAAAAATTGAAACTGGAAGACATACCGCACCCTCTAGAAGCAAGGTTATGTACATGTTGTAATTTATATAAAATAGAATAGAGGACGAATGTCACTTTGTTAAAGAATGTAGATTATATAGTAAAGAGTGAAATGATCTGTACAGGCTTGTACAAAACCTATTTCCTTACTTCATACACTTGAGCACTGTAGAAACATTCATATTCCTAATGTGACTTCAAGTTGACAAACCTTCCATCGAAAAACATATTTGTTCCTTTATCTCTACTATAACTGAAAGGCGAGAAGTTGAATTTATGTAATGATAGCTAGTTTCATTTTGTATATATCTTTTCATCATGTCTTGTTTTGACCTGTACTTACTGTACCTGCAATAAAGGTCGTCATTCATTCATTCATTATCACCATTATGCGTCCGGATTTGATCCGGTTAGGTACACTTGATGGTACACAGTGACGATGCAGATTCATAAGTAATTAAACACGTGCGATTTGCTTCATGCACCATTCGCTTCTCTGTATAGAGTTGTTGCAGTTTAGCTTAGTTTTGTTAAGAAATTTTCGACTTCTACGGTGTTTGCAATCGTCCCTACACCCCATGTCTATATTGTATCCCTCGACTAATCTCCAAGAAGATCCCTCTCGGTGACAAAAAGACAGCATCAATTTGGCCAGGCGGTATCCATTAGCCAGAGAAGCTCCGCGGCCACCGACGGGTGGGGATCAGGAAAAAAAAAAAACGGCCATATATAAAAAGGTAACGATCATTCCCCCACAACCTCTGCTTGGAGAGTATCTCTCGACCAGATTCTGAGACCTTCATGTATAAATTCAATTGACTGATTGGCTGCCCGTCAACCTCGACCTGCATCATAACTGGCCCTAATGGCCGAATTGAGCAATTCAGAGTATAAAGGCACAAACAAGCAAGAAACAAAGAAAACCTGAGCGTCTTGGCAGCTACAATGACGGCCTGTTGTCCTTCTTCCCTCAGCACACCCTTCCTCACGTGGCCGAATTCTCCCTCTCCGATCAGATCATCAAGAAACAGATCCCTTCTGTTCTTCAGCCATGGCTCCATCTTCTCAGACCCGACTATGTCCTTGTGAACAACATACAACAGTTAGAGCTTGGTCAGGAGTGGGTGCAATCTTACATCAAGAATACGATACTGCAGTGGAAAAAAATTATAGTGACAAATTTCACAATAAAACTTTTTGAATTATAACCGTAGCCACGAGTGCATTATTTTCAGTTTTTCCTTTAAAGTCACATTAATGTCACACCCATTAGTGTAATAGTGTAATCTATTCATCTATTATTAAATATTAAATATTAAATATTAAATATTAAATATTAAATATTAAATATTAAATATTAAATATTAAATATTAAATATTAAATATTAAATATTAAATATTAAATATTAAATATTAAATATTCTTAACAACCCAGGACCAATGTGTACCTCAAGGACTTCCTTGAATAGCTGTGTCGGGTCTAACTTGTATCTCAGGCGCTTGACTATCTGTACAGCACAGATGGCTGCGGCGATCACAACAACTACGAGAACAGAGGTTAACGAGCCAACAAGCTTTGGGTCGATGTGGACAGCCTCTGTAAAAAAATACATAGGTAAAATAGAATAATGCTGATGCGATGGAGCCAACTGTCAAAAAAAAAACAATATATATCGATGTGTTTTGCAATTTGTATTTTTTAATGCCACGTTTATCCAAACTATTGTACCTAGAGTAGAATTAAAGAAAGAAGCAACTTCACACACAAACCTGACAAAATAAAGAATTACTATGCACATTCAAATCAGGAACGTTTGATCTACGAGTACATCTATCTTCTAGTATTTATTTATCTATTTATCAATCAATCAATCTATATATCTATATATATGAGCGAATACAAATTAACTAGTTATGCAGTTCACGTATATCTCCGATATGATATAACCACTCCAATACTTTGGCAATAACTTTCTATAATAAATTTCAGACAAAAAAAATCATTACATTTACCGCCATTTTCTCTTACCTGTCTTGAAGGTAGCAAACCTGGCCTTTCCCGTCTTGCCGTTGGCAACTGTTGTAACTGTCAGGTTGTACACAGTTCTTGGTTGCAAGTTGTAAATAGTTGTTGTGACACCTGTCGGAGTGTTCTTCGGTAAAGGCACGTCAATCAGAGGGCTGGAACAATCAACCAATCAACTAATCAACCAACCAATCAATCAATCAATCAATCAATCAATCAACTTTATTGCTCAACAACTGTAGCTTGTACAATGTATGGGAAAGAAACAACAAGAGTACATACGGAAACTAATACTAAAATATAATTCTAACGAGCTAATCCATAATGATACTAAAGGTAATCTATTGTGTTTTCTTAGGAAGAGTATTATTACATTCTGTAATTCAGGAGATATATCAGCTATTTACAATCTGGTGTCGTTTTTGTAGTGATTCAGATATGAATTTTCCAACGTACAATGATATCTGAGTAGGACATGATAGGAACATGATCAAAACTAAGAGGCTTGCAACGACCATAAAATATGTGAGTAGAATATAAAAGAACTTTATTGCACGGCAATTGTACAACGTATGGCAACGACTACTTAACCAAATACAAAAAGGACAGGGCATAGAATGAAAATTAACAAGTGTCCATAGGCGACAATTCTTCGTGAAGTTTTATATTTTGCGAACAGTACTGATCACTTAACAACTGGTAACAACGTATCGTAAAAATGGCTAAATCCTTGGTCTAATAATCTAGCCTGACTAAAAAATCGCGCTCCTGGGGGCCACCTGCCCAGAGGTTTGCCGCCCCCTTGGGGAAACAGTTGCAGACTGACTAGTGTAAACACAGGCTACATCAAGTCAACAACACGACAATCTAAATAGATGAACAAAGTCAGCTTTCATAACAATATCTTTCATTTACTACATATTATTCATTTGACAAGGTATCGCAGTAGGTGCAAACCACAATCCCAAAGGATACTCGCAACCATTATACACAACAGCCACCTAATATCTGCTTAGAGAACCTCGGCTACCAGACAACTATCTACACCTACGGCCTATTCCACAGGGTTGTAACAAGTAGGGATGTTTCTAAAATACGCATTTACTTCAATATCAAAACTACTAGGGTCTAAATAAAAAGACGTACATCACCACAGACGTACATCACCACAGACATAATGACACACCACATGCCCAATTACACAGAAATGCTACGTACAGAACAATGCGTTTTGGCTGCGAACATCTTAAAGATTCGGTCCAATATTTTATGCATGAGCAAAAAGAAAAATTGTAACGTAAACACAGCTATTATAATGTCTACCTGTCAGAAAACTGGCAAAACCTGACCAGAAAATCTGGTACCTGGTGTGATGTGGTGAACTCGCCTGTAGTTGGAACAGGTCTACAGACCCTTCAGTCGGAGGTACCAGGTTCAAGGTCACTGATGTCGAATCTGTGGTGAGGACTGACACCTGTTTCACCGGAGAAGGATCTGAAAACACGTTTAAAGTTAAAACTTTTGATCCAACACAAAGAAATCTCTCACCTAGAGCTTTCGACCAGTCACTCTGGTCTTCCTCAGTAGACTGAACCAGTGAAGCTTGTCACGTGGCTTCTTTGAAGTATGACGTCATCTGGTAGACCAGATTCCTTTGACCCAATGTTGACGTCACACTTCAAAGAAGCCATGTGACAAGCTTCACTGGGTCAGTTTACTGAGGAAGACCAGAGTGACTGGTCGAAAGCTCTAGGTGAGAGATGTCTTTGTGTTGGATCAAACGTTTTAACTTTAAACATGTAACTACCAACACAGATGAACTTTCATGATAGGATCTGAAAACACAATGACACAAGAGAATTCGGAGACATCACACCGACATGAAATATCAAATCTTGTGTAATTAAATGCTATTTTTTTCTGTTCTCATTCGTTTTGGTGGCTACAAGTCACCACTTATTAGCCTGGCCTAAATCTCTCTTGAGTAAAAGGCTCCTTTTTGCTATTTGGTGCTTTGTAAATTGGCAGCTGCAAAGGAGGTCATGTAACATTGAGAAAGCAGCGAGCACATGCTATTGGACCCTGACCCACGCTAGGTATTACGTCCAGGAAACAAAAATTCGGAGATCTCATACCTCCATGAAATATATTAGTTTTTGTAAATGTTTTTACACAGTACACAACAATACAAAACAAAATAACACAGGTTTTTGTTTTTAAACCTTTGGTTTTAAATAGGTCAGGCTGTAATAGATATGGTCAACTGTACATGTAGTCTATTCCAGAGGGAGAACCTCATTAATCAGGCGCGCTGCCTCCACACGTGTTATTGCGTTAGAGGAACTCTTTGACAGCTGGTGTTTTGTTGCATAACCCGCACATCTGCTTTCCCTGCCTTGCAAAAAGATACAAAAACCGGAGGTTCTGCTGCAGTACCAAGGTAAGCCACCAGAAGGCCCTTATTTGACCTTGACCTTTGGATTTCTAAGACCTACCAGCATACCATATATCATCACAATCCATAAAGGCGTTCTGAAGTTATGCTGACTACGAATGTGAGAAACACACATACACACACACACACACACACACACATACAGACGCGCCAAAAATAATACCTCCATTTTTCATGGAGGTAAAAAGGGGTCAATTCCCTGGGGAGGCCAATAGTGTTGATGCGATGTCAAATTGATTAATGACTTTCTCACTCCGGAACAAACTGGACCCAACCATCCGTTACAACCTGTGAAAACACAGACACACACACACACACAGATACACACAGGCCGACCGAAAACAATACTACCATTTTTCATGAATTGTGATGGCTGTTGTCTACTGACCTGTGCTGATGATGGCAAGGGTGATGTACCTCATCATGGAATCCTCTAAACTATAACCTTTCCGCACATTCTTCACATTGTTTATGCCGACCGTTTCCAACTGAATCTGGGGGACAAAAATCAGGGCATCTTTTCATATTTCTAATTCCTTTTTTTGTTTTATGATGTATATTAAACAAACAACTTTCTTAATTCCAAAATTAACAAGTTCCAAATTAGTAGAATCGTGTGGCGTAACGGCAGAGCGATCGGCTTAAAACGAAGAGGTCCCGAGTTCGAATCCTGCCTTGCTACCTATCTTGTGCCCCCTTTTTTTCTTCTTGTGCCCTTAATTAGGAATGGCACTTTACACGACTTTCCTCACTTAACTTTGGTAAAAAAATAAAATAATAGATATAAAATAATAGATATAATAAAAAAATTGTCTAAAATTATGAAAAGATTTTATCTGCTCAAGCTACCTTTACGTTATTGTCCGTATAATGATTTGTAAATCAGTTGATTAGTGAAAAGCTTAAACAATTGTTCTTGAACTAACTTGATATTCCTTCCCTGGTGTCAGTCCAGCAAATTCTGCCTCCAGGTCGGTCTCATTCCAGAAAACCTGCGGAGTGTCTGTTTCATACTCTCGTGGTGAGATGTCGAGCTGAAGAAGAAACAAGAAAAGTGAAAGTGATGTCGAACCAGTTTAGCTCACTGAAGAGCTAATCTTCCACTGGTCATGACAGAGAAGACAGACGCTATGTACAGTATTTACAGGTTCATTGTACTGGGAAAATTCCACTAGCTCTTTTCGACAAGCACAATGAACAGTGGACCACTGCTTAACGTCCCGTCCGAAGGACTGCAACCCTAAACAGTAGCGTGCATGTCGGGTGAGCGTTCGGCTCGAAACGTGCGGGATTCGAACTCCCAACCTCTTAGTTCAGAGGCAGGATCGCTAACCACTGGACTACGCACGCTACTTAAAATTAAAACAAAAATTCCGAAAAACACCATTTAAGACAAATAAATGGACAACAACAAAGTGACTGCGGACTGAAATTGTGAACACAGCCACCAGTTCAACATTATGGAAAATAAGAATATTTGACAAGACCAATAAATATATTAATAGAAATAGTAGTGATAATATCAATGATAATGATGATGATGATGATGATGATGATAATAATAATAATAATGACAACAACGACGACGACAATGATAATACTGACAACAATAGTAATTGCTACAAAATGCAATGTATATCCTACTCGTACGACTGTGCTGTCTTCAATATTCATTGACTTGTAATTTTACCTTGTAATACAAGAAATACAAGACTAAGAAAGAACTGCGCCGACTCTGCTCTGTGAAGTTTAACCATTTGATTCTGATTGTGCTGTCTGTGACTGATGTAGAGTTGAAGATCCTGTCATCCTGATCAGTCGCTGTGCAAAGGAAAAACAACTAGATAAGTAACATTTGCAAAGCAAATGCATAATGTTTACCTTCGGACATGGTCTGCCCTGTTAATTTTTACTCAAACACATACATGTACTACAGGTATATGGTGATAGGAGTAGAGCAGACCACGAAATTGCAACATTATGTAACCCAACACCAGTCACCATGGTGATAGACGTCAACAAA